GATTATTTAGTGCCAAGCTGTTTGACTATGACTGCAAAATAAGTCAAATAAATTTAATCTAGTCAGGTAGTTCCTTTTTAAAAAAAGGGCCTTTTACACACATGTGGTTGTTAATGCTATAAATGATGTAATGTTGCAACACTGTACAGTGTGCGGTCATGTGGGTCAGCTTGTTTTGACTGTATGTCAATAGAAAGAGTAGGGGGGCATTATGAGAGAATAATGTGAGGAGAGGTCAGCTCTGCGGGGACACCTACAGGTTGGGCAAAGGTATATACACAGTGCCCACAATGCACCTGACTGACTTCACCTGAGTGCTGAATGAAACCAGGGTGTTTTCATCATGATTCCCCAAAGGTGCTTCCTATAAATCAACTAAAATGCCTCCAACTGAAACTAAATAAAGGTAGATAAATGTAATCTCCATCCATCTTCCCCTGTCTCTCCAGAGGACAACTAAAGCACAAATAAATATTTACACAAATGTAAAAAGTGGCAGGGTGACAGCAGCATTTCGACCTAATGTGACCTGTCAGGAGCAGAGCTCGTTCAAACCAGACCTGGAAACAGATTGAAGTCAGCTTCACTTTCCATGTGTTTGATCGTTCATGTGGACAGGGGTTGTCGGTGGAGTAAAACTATCTCAATTTGGCATTTTGGGTTTTTTATTTAAGGATGTGATGTATTCTTTGACAAGGCGAGCCCCAAAATGTGAGGTTTCAAGTCAAATCTCAGATGTTTGGTTTCTTCGGTGGTTTAAGAGCTCTCCCTGGAGGCAGTCTGTGCTCTGTTGATGTGATGCCTCTATATTTTAACAGTGTTTGTCTAATAATCTGATAGCCAGAACATGCGGCGCTTATAGTGGTTTCAAAAATGTACATTTTTCATGATAATAGCTTTAAAATTCTTGCACAACATTTGTTCCAACATCATAATGCATACATTAAAAATTTTATTTTATCATGCATACCTAATTTGTCCATCCCAAGTTATTAGTGAAGACAAGTACTATGTTTGCTTTCAGCTGGAAGAGCGTATTAACATTCATTTGGAAAGATTGTTCATTTACTTTATATGGTGCTACTGCTGTTTGACAAAATGAGCCTCACCTAGTAAACGTCTAAAGCTCAAACACGCTATACCACCCTTCAGTTCTTTTGATGAGGACTTGCCACAGTTTGTCTTTTAACTTGACCACCATGCATTGCATTTTTTTTTTCAAGGAGCTTGTCATATTTCAGTTTTAAACAACCATCACTGGATGTTTTCACTTGATGACATTTTCTACAACAACCTTTTGTGTTTTAGTGGCCAAAGGTCACAACTACAGTTCACATTGTCAACAAATCCATAAGAGCTGTTATCTGAAGAAGAGGAGAGTTGATATCAGAGAGGGGAATGTGATCCTGGCTTCAAAGGGGAACGGTGTGCGTGTGTGTGTGTGTGTGTGTGTGTGTGTGTGTGTGTGTGTGTGTGTGTGTCCGACTGGCTGATGTGTCAGCCAGTGGGCGTTTTGGAAAAAGATGACTTTGGTGACTCTGCGCTGAAGGGATTGTTGCACTCACTGTTTCACTATGGCTCACCAATTAGGGTCATGCCATCCTAAATTTAACCTAATCCGAGCCCCCCACTCTCCCTCACCAGTCAGAGCCAAGGTAACACTGTTCTGTGTCTGCAGGGGGGTCGAAGGTTGTTGTCCATCAAACAAAATCCAGATATTGCCATTCTCAGTTTGGAAGAAGCTATAAACTCTGCAACATTCAAGAAACAAAGGATCAGTGGATCTTACAGCATGTAAGAAATGAGTAAAAAAAAAGGATCCTAAAGGATGAAAGGAAGGAAATATTTATGTCGCACGTTAACCCACATCCCAGCTGTCCCAGCTAAACTCTTTCCCGTCCTTCAGCCGGGCCTGCGCCATGTGTTGAGGCACACAACCTGAGAAATGCAGTTGTCATCCATTCCTGCCCTCTTGTCCTGATGCAGCTGTACACTGACTGCATCTACACACACACACTCTGGCTCTTCCCTCCCAGTCGCTGTTGTTTTATCATTAAATGGCGACATTAGTTCATATCATGTGATTCGAAGAGGATTCATTGCACATTAGAGGCCCTAATCGCCACCTATAGTCTACCCCCCGGGCCTCGCCCACATGACCCTGCTGAGCACAGCGCTTTCTTTATGCACCCTGAAAGAGCTGGGGATTGAGCCCAAACAAAAAAAACCCCACGAGGGTGAAAAAATGTTTTTACACCCACCCCGCTCCCTCGCAGGCCCGGCTGTGTGGGCGCACAGGGCCGTTTTAGCTTTAGATCAATGGGACAAGTTACTGGAGTCTGGCCAACTCTGACAGATAGCACAGAAAGAAAAAAGCTTGCCTCTTCAAAAAATTGGGTTTTGTCACTGTGTTTTGTACCTCCACCCCCCCCCCCCACACACACACACACACACACACACACCCCTCACCCCTCACACCACCACCAAAAAAGTGAGGTGGAATGGGGGAATGTTTTTAATTTTTTCCTTAAAGCAAAAAGATTGGAGTTTTCATACATTGCTTCTTCTGTGTGGAGGGTGAGAGGGCGAGGCCGGGGGTGGGGAAGAGGAGGGAGGGTGTGCACGGGCTTATAGGAGGAAAGAGGATGCCGCCTCACATCAGCCGGCTGCAGATGAACCCCTTGTCAGACGTGGGTCCTGACACGGAAGCTCAACAAAGCTGCAACTTGTCCTGTGGCTAATGATGGGTGTTATAGTTTAACAACAGGTCTGGTGGGGATGATGGTGGCGCTGGTAAACCAGGAGCTCACAAATATTCAGCCAGTGCCCGGGGAGGGGTTTACAGCGAGGGCGTAGCGCCCCCTATTGGGAGAGACAGGACAGTGCTCTTTTTCAGACGCACAAAGACAGACGCAGCTTCGTCTCTGGTCGTTCCTGTGTTTTGTCTTCTGTGAAGTGTCTGCCTTCATCGAGGGTTAAAGCTGCGGATAGTCTGTATTTTTCTTACCGTCGATAAATACAAAATATTGTCCATTTAACAAGTATTTCTCTGTGCCACTGAGCTCCTCTGTTGTCAAAAAACTAATAAAAACACATCAGTGACCCACACTGTTGCACTGGGTGACATGATCCTTCATTAACATGAACACACACACTGTTTTATTTTGACTCAATCCCAATACACCGTCCTGTTGCCCCAAATACTCACTAAAGCACTAAATGTGTATTAATGCACCGCTGAAAATAGTCCCCGACAAATGTACTGTCCAAATCTGTATGAGTAAAATTTGCTTAAAACTACAGCCAGAGATCTGGTGACTGTGGCGGCCGTTGGAGTACAGTGAACTCATTGTCATTGTTCAAGAAACCAGTTTGAGATGATCTGAGCTTTGTGACATGGTGCATGATCCTGCTGGAAGTAGCCATCAGAAGATGGGTACACTGTGGTCATGAAGGGACAGACACGGTCAGCAACAATTCTCAGGTTGGTTGTTGTGTTTAAATGATGCTCAATTGGTACTAAGGGGCCCAAAGTGTGCCAAGAAAATATCCCCCACATTGTTACACCACCACCAGCCTGAACCGTTGATACAAGGAATGATGGATCCATGCTTTCATTTTGTTTATGCCAAATTTTGAACCTACCATCTGAATGTAACAGCTGAATGTAACAGCTAAAATAGAGACTCATCGAATCAGGCAACGTTATTCAAACCTTCCATAGTCCAGTTTGGTGAGCCTGTGCAAATTGTAGCCTCAGTTTCCTGTTCTTAGCCGACAGGAGTGGCACCCGGTGTGGTCTTCTGCTGCTGTAACCCAGCTGATTCAAGGTTTGACGTGCTGTGCGTTCTGTGATGGTATTCTGCATACCTTTGGTTGTAACGAGTGGTTATTTGAGTTACTATTGCCTTTCTGTCATCTCAAACCAGTCTGCTCATTCTCCTCTGAGATCAACAAGGCATTTTCGTCCACACAGCTGCCGCTCACTGGATATTTTAATTTTTTTAGGACCATTCTCTGTAAACTCTAGAGATGGTTGTGCATGAAAATCCCTGTAGATCAGCAGTTTCTGAAATACTCAGACCAGCCCGTTATTTTAGCATACAGCTCATTACGTCCCAAAACATCTAAACTTCCTCCATAAAGCAGAATAACAGCTGACCAACCGGACAACAAACTTATCTTGTTTATTTTTAAAGTTGCAGCATTTCAACCTTGTTGTCAAAAGACACATCGGTTGTTGTTCATTGTTCATTTTCTGAAGTGTATGTGGGGAGATGTTTTCATATCACCTCTGCTCTACAGCATTTACAGGCAACTTTGTGAACTTTTCCAACATGACTTCCTGTCTCGTGACCCTGAGCCTCGTCTCCCTAGCTGTCGCGCTGACCCCGGGGTGTCGACAGACCATGCCTCCTCCTGCCCAGGCTGTCGGCCATCTCCCAGATAACACCCCCCGCCTCGGTGTCATGTCCGCCTGGCACCTTGTAAAAAATTTGAACATGATAGCGAGGAAGGTCAAAATGCAGTGAGGAGGCCACTGTGCTATGCCAACATCAAGTCATTGACCCATGATCAGAACTGTCCCTTAAAAATGAAATGCTGCTGTTTAATTCTAAACCGTTTTCCCAGTTTGGTGTGGAAGAACTTGACTGGCCTACACAGATTCCTGACCTCAACTACATCCGACACCTTTGGGACAAACTGGTTGTGGCTCCTCTGGATCTACAGACCACACATTCATTAGTTTTCACTGAAATTACTATATTTAAAGTTTAAAAAAAACACCTAATTGTTAATGCTTTGCAGAGGACAGATTCTATTAATTTCCATTATATTTGCAGCACAAGTTTACAAGAATCTCAAAATCTCAGCACATGAACTTCGCAGAGAGACAATATATAGTTTTATATCACAATGTGGCTAACTGGCACTTTAATATCCATGTTACTACATTTTTTATTTTTACTACAGGCAAATAAAATCGCATCTTTTAAGAGTCTGGTTAGAAAATGAAATCATTTATTTAACACGACCGGATCAGCAGATCAGCCACACACATAGCATCAGACTCAAATCACAATCACTCACTTTCAGTATATACAGTTAGGCACATTCACATTAGGCATTAAAGCCAGCCGCAGCTTCTACTGTAGGTCCAAACCTGTGGCAGGTTTGGTTACCGCCTCCGAGTCCAGCAGGAAAATCAGCCGGGTTAACCAGGGTCCTCTGATCCAGGGTCAGTTTTGTTTACACCCACAGTCACATTTAAAAGGTTTGGATTTTGGGCTGCAGACACTGATCTGGGGTCAGAAGTCCAGCAAATGTTCTCCATTTGAATCCGCTACCTTTGTTCCTGAAATGTTACACTGTAGTTCTACACCATTTAAATGCAGTCACGTGTACAAAATAACAGGACCACCACCTGCTCTAGATAAAATAAAACTCTGAAAGTGGATTCCCTGACCTCGTTAAATCCACTTCATTTAGGAGAAGCGGTGATGACGATCGTGCTGGGAAAACATGTTTGAGAAAAATTTGAGACACTGTGTAGGTCAAAGTCAACATCTGGAGGGTGTTCCTTATATTTTGAGCACTGCTTGTGGAAACATTTTTTTGGTGTAAAGTTTTGCCAGCCTTACATCTCAGTATTCTCCCCTCTTCAAATTAAAGTTAATGTGATCAATGAAGTAGAAAAAAAAAACAAAAAAAACTCAAATAAACCTCACTTGGTTTAACTCGACACTTTCTCCAATTTATTAAAATCATCAGAAAGCAAATTCAAATAATAGTCAAAACATGGAAAGTAAAAAAAAGGGGGGACTTGAACCACATAAATAAAAACAAACAAACAAACAATGGATAGTGACACTTGGAAAGAAAACATGTTTAGTTCATGAAAAATAAAAAATTTAAATGTCCAACCAATTCTCTATTATAATACAAGCTTCTGCTTTGCAATGCTAGCACTAAAACAGCTTGGAAGAAGAATAGGGCACTTATTAAGTGCTCAGTTTTTGAACTAAATCAATATCAAGATTAAGAGGAGACCAAGAATAACTGAGAACTGCCAGGAAAATACAAACACAGGGACTAAAGCATTAAGGAAACTTTCAAAAAAAATAGTCTGTCTCTGAATAATCAGTGTCCTTCATTTTTAGCAGGTTCCTGCACGATACCCTTTAATAGACAAGAGAAGCAAGAGCGCGGGACTGCAGCAGGTTTTCAATGAATGTTGGTTGAAAAGGAAATGGCACCCATAAAAAAAAACCATCCCAACACAGAGGATGCAGTCAAACTAATAAAAAAAAATAATAAAAAAAAAAAAATAGAGAAATAAATAATCAGTCTTTTTAAAAAGGCTTCCCGGAAGGTGGGTTTTCAAGCAGAAGGTTTCAGTGGGTGTTTCTTTTTGCCAAACTACACAGTGTCCCCTCTGTGTTGACCATCCCAAATAACAGCCTTGTTACAGAGATATTTACACTTCAAAAGCAACCCAATCTGGGCTTGGTACGCGCATAATGCTACATTGCAAGGATGAAGGTTCCCCTAATGTCCTACAAAGAAACGCAGCATGTCGGTAAGTTGGCTGTACCCCTCACTACAGCGAGTCAGGTCTGTCTGACAGTCAGTCCTCTTTCACTGTTCTGGGATCAGTCCTGACTCCTGCACTTCTGAGCTGAAGTCCTCTGTGGTACAACGGTTTCGCCTGAGGAAGAGCAGTGAGCGGGATGATGGGTAGGAAATGAAAGCAGCCCATTTAATGGAGATGCGGTAGGTCGTCCTGACAGAGGCTGCTGCTTGTACGCTGCGTTCCAGAAATGTCAGAAATTCCATCCTCATGCAGTGGAAAATGCAATGGAAAGCACACAGGTGGAAATATTTCTCTAACTGGAAGTTTCCATTATGCACTCATCAGACTGACACTCAGCGCTGCATAGCATCACTTTTAAAATAATCTTTAAAAAAATGGCCCTACTCACCCACATGTGACTTCACTCATTTTACCTGACTAAATCCCTTTAATGGTCTGTGCTTGACTGACAAACCTCTGAATCATAACTCAGAGCACATCCGCCCAGTCAAAGGAGAACAAAAGGTGAACTCTGACCTGCGAATCCACCAGAACCGGCTGGAGGTCGCGCCAAAGGAGTAAACACACGTTTGGATTCGTCTTCATTTCTTCAGGCAACACCCAGCCTGACTGCAGCTCAGGCCAAACGATAACCTAAGCAGAAATCTAACATTTAGTCAGTTATGTGGGTGTGCACCACCTTTAAATCTTAAATTCACTAAACCAAATATTTGTTTAACACACACACACACACAAAAAAAAAAAACTACACATCTGCTTCCATCTAACAGAAATTTTCAAATCCCACCAGTGAAGCAGCACTGGACAAAGCACATTGTTAACATCACCGATGGGCGGGGTCCTGAATCTTTCCCCCTGTCACAGTCAGTGCAACAATATTTTCCTGCTGTAGTGTTTAATCATCTCTTAAAATAGACATTTGAAATATAAAGAAGAACTTACAGTAGCATGAGTAGCTGCTAAATTGGGAACAGTAGTTAATGTTGGCCCACAAAAAAAAAGGAAAAAAAGAGCCTGTTTTGTTTACATGCTGAACCACCGACTGCATCAAAGATGGAATTTCGACATACAAGCAATTTTCCAACTTTGTCCACACAGCATCAGCCTTCCACTACCCTCTTCCTTCTCTTCTCCTCCTCTGGGTAGTGGTTCTGGTTTCACCCAGACCATTTGTCTGCCTCCTACCTTGCTTATTGATTCTCTTTGTAAAAAAGTTGCTCTCTTGACCCCAAGCAAACGGCCGATGGCGAGGAGGAGATTTAGCTGAGAGTTAGAGAACATGACTCCATGACATCATGTTCTTTCACCTTTGTGGCCTCCTGGCGGATGCTGATAACCTTTGCTAAAGCATGATTCTGTGTTGTTAAAAGTTTAAATATATTTAAGCTGCTTGTCTGAGCACTATAAACACGCTGAGCTCAGAAACGTTGATAATGCAGAATCTTCTCTTTGCAAAATATCATGATGACCGCCAATACACTTTTTCCTTCTACCTGATTTAGCTTTGTTTGGCTATAAGAACAAATTACAGCTCCACCTCCTTTATCTCTTAGTCCTCATCTGCCTATTAATTCCCCAACTACATCCAATCACACATTAGGACATGTGTGCCTGTCCTCTTCTGGTTTATGAGTGCTGGGAAAATCTAAGTATTTGTCCTTAATCACCTCTTCCTCCGTTTGTGAATGTATCAGCAGAAGTACAAGCTTGGGCTGCTCTTCACCACCACTTTCATCATCTACTATCTCAAGTTCCCTGTTGTGGACGCCCCTCACCAGGAGGAAACAATAAGTCAGCAAGGAAGGAAAGGAGGAACAGATGATAAGACAGGAGAGGAGCGCGCACACACACTACTAGCTATTGTCCGCTTCCTACTTCTCTGATGACTGTTCAGGCTCTACTAACAGACGTCCAAGCGACCGCTACTCCCCCCCAACGTCCTCACCGCCGTCCTCCTCCTGTAGGAGTTCTTTGTCTGTGTAAATGTCCCTGACCAGGAGGACTCTGGTGAGGAGGCGCTCCAGCATCCGTCGCTCCAGCGGCGTGGAGCTGAACCACAGCGGATCCTCGGGACTGCAGGCCGGATCCGGCTGAACGTAGAAGACATCCAGACGTTCCTGCAGCAACACCGGGCTGGAGGGAGTTGGGAGAGAAAGGATAGAAGTATGGAAAGAGTAAAAAAGGGGAGACAGACAAAAGTGGAGGAAATAACGCAAGGAGTGAAGGAGGGAAAAAAAGAGGAAGTGAACCAATAAGAATCAAGAAGGGGAGGGAAAAATAATGACACAGAAGAGAAAACAACATATAGAAGGGATGAAATTACCGTGGAGAAAGATAGAGTATGAAATCATTGGAGCAGTAGGAGAACGAGTTAAAAGAGAAGGGAAAGAAAAAGTGTTGAAGGCAAGAGACAACAAGAGGATGGACATGATTGAAAGGATGTAAACCAAAGATTAAGAAGTGAGAAAATATGATTAAAAGGAGGGGCAGGGAGAGTAAGAGAGAGACAAGCGTGAATCTATTGTTCTGAATTTCCACTTGAATAATTGAGAAACCTTTGACAACTCAGATTATTTAATGGTAAGTCCTCATCTTTCAATAGTCAACACTGTGGTTCAGGATGTGAACAGCAATGAGTTATAATCACAGGACTCAAACAGAAATCCAACTTGTTAAATTAGATTAAGGATATAAACACACTCCCCAATTAAAACTTGTTTCATTACTTTTGTTATGTCCTATCAACTATTCTTGCATGCATCTCAGACCATCTTAAGCAGCAATCTTTGATTCTACACAATTTGAGTGTTATTTAATTTTATTTATTTAATTATTAAAATGACAATGAAATATAAGTATAAAAAGGGAAAATAGTGCAGGGAAGATGGTAGCATAATATGTATTTTACTAATGTCAGTTGCACCAGTAAAGAGGTAGTGAACCTACCACTTAGATCTGTAGAGCTCGTATAGGTGACACTCATGCTTCTTAACCGGGCAGCATATGGAGGAGACTCCCGAGTCGTCGTCTGGATCATAGTCCTGATCACCTTCCTCCAACTTACGCTTCCTCTTCTTAGACTCTGTTTGTACTAAAGGACAAAAATAAAACAGTTTTAACATTTACAAGATTATCTGTCTGAGATTTTGAGCAAAATCTGACTTGGCTTTATCATCATTAAAAGGCTGCAGATAAGAAGAAATCTACTCACAGAAGAGATACTTTCTATGTCTGACTACTTGGATTAATGTAAATCGACAGATGCAGATATTTTGAACATAAATTTAATCACAACATCAAGATAGATTTTATCATTTAGAAGACTTCATCTATTACCTTTTCTACAACATGGTCGTATCAATTATACTTGCATTTAAATTTTGTCAATGCCCAATGTCTAAACTGCCAAGTCTATGGAATCATTTACATTTATTCATTTAGCTGACGCTTTTATCCAAAGCGACTTACAATTGCTAAATATGTCAGAGGTCGCACGCTTCTGGAGCAACGAGGGGTTAAGTGTCTTGCTCAGGGACACAATGGTGGATGGGTCACATTGGGGGATTGAACCCGGGTCTCTCACACCAAAGGCATGCGTCTTATCCACTGCTCCATTACCACCCCATAACACAATGTTTCTCTGGAGTTGTATTGCAATTAAATTCTTTGCTATAATAGCCCTTTAAAAAAGGCACACCTACTCAGATGGATAAACTCTGAATAATTAATAATCAAAAAACATAACAATTTAGCAAAAATAATCTATTTAAAGAAGAGATGTGTCAAGATGTGATATGTCAAACAGGCAGGAAGCGCTGTCAGATCAGACCGGGATAATACTGATCAGCCTGATATTGCTGGCCTCACCGTGGTGATCCTGAGAGATGGAAGGCACGCGGATGCAGACGGTCGTCTCTTTCGTGACAGGATGGACGGTGTCGGGGCCGTAGACATTGGCGAAGGAGAGGCGGAGGTGCTGCTCCACGGTGCGTAGGCCGAAGTATTTGGTGTTCAGGTAAACCAGAGAGCGCAGCAGAGTGGCGGGACTCTGCTCCCCGAGCTGCCGGCTGCTCCACAGGCTCTGCTCCTCCACTCGACTCCACAGCGAGCCTGGAGGGAGAAAACAATTGAAATAATTTCTAGAAATAAACCAGTCTGAAGCTCACTATTCAGTGGCCAAGATGGATGATTAAGTGGAGGATGTAGTAATATCTGACCCTCATTTAATCTAAAATGATTTTCATCCGTCTACAGACTTTGATGACATGCGTCTAGTATTCAAATTAATACAAGTGTAAATGTTATCTTTAAATGCACCATTTATTTCTCACAAATGCATCTTTACAAACTACTTTTTTCTACCTGAAAATTGTTGTGTAAAGAGGAAAACACATTTGTTTTAGCTGTTATTGTTGCTATTGCAGCGTCCTCATATGACATAAAAGTGCAATCACAGCGCATCAGGATGTGAACAGCAGAAGAGTTATAATCATTGGACACTGCTCATAATAGAGAGCAACACTAGTTTAACACTGTGCCACCAGTTGGCGCTAAAGAGCACACACTCAAACACGCTGCACTAAGATCTAATTTGACCTCTTAATTTTATTTCTTTAATTTGTTTTTGCTATTCGTGTGAATTGGTCGTGCATTTTTTTGTGTGATGATTTAAAAAAGTAAGTATTAAGTAGGTCAAATTTATATTTAATCAAAAAAAACAAAACACAATTTGGTGCTGGGCAGATGGCCATATCAGACTGTGTTTGGCAGGACTCACCATCAGGAAGCACACTGGGCTGCCAGTCCTTCAGGACCTTGTTAATCTCCTCTCCAAACTGCTGGTAGCATGGGTCACTAAATAGGTCATCCTTCCGGCCTTTGGCATGGAGGTGCTTCACACAAATAAAAAAATCTCACATTAACAAAAGATTTCAATGAACAAGCTGCAATCTGTGGTTGCTCATAGAGATAAAAACTTTAGTGTCCTCATATTTAATTGATCATCACTGTTTTTCAGGATGTGAACAGCAAAGATTTATAATCACCGGACACACAAATCTGTACAAACACAAACAAAAATCTTGCAAACACAAACAAAAACTCGCTTATTGAAAGATTTCTATTTTTTTCCTTTTTTTAAAAAAAAAGGAGGGAAGGGCTGCAGCACATTACAGGAGGCCAGGAAAAGGTACACGACATTTTCAAGTATTTTAAGTGATATTACTTGATTAAACTTTTAAACCATTTCAATCTTTCAAACTTTGTTAAATACAAACAAATAAACTCAAGCTTACATTTTTCTGTCAGAAAAACCACACTCCAGAGGACTTTGGATAACCCCGGGCTCCACTCTGCTGCCATGCTCTGCTGCTGCTGCTCACATGTGAGAGCAGGAGGCAAGACTGTCCGCTAGTTATATCTGTCCTATTGGAAACACCCCCACTAAATTTTAGTTCCTACCACCAAAATGACTACAGATGGGAGGGACTTTACTAGAACAAAAAGGAAAGGCTACTTCTTGTTTCTTAAATTTACTTTACGCATCTAAAATGTAAATTGTGTAATGTTTTCTTTATTTTGTTATTTTTGTCAGTGAAACAATGATCCTTGTGGTGGTTATGGAGAGGGAGTCATCAAAATCAGTATTGTTACAACGCCACTACTAATGTTACAAGAATTATGAGCGATGCCTTGCCTTTTTTGTACTTTGTTTAAGCAAAGAAACAAAAGGAGTGGACTCCAACTGGATAATTACGATCACACAGTCAGCTTCTTAATTAAACGATTGTTAAAATATTTATTGTTTAAACCACGTTTCATGTTAAATCTGTAAACCTAGATTAGATATATAGATAGATCATTCAGACTTAAGCCTAGTTCACACTACACGATTCTTAGCCCGATTTGCCGCTCGGCTCGTTATGTGTAAACTACTCAATGTGTCACAACGGTTCCCCTGACACATCACAGACGTCTGCCAGATATCTAGAAGAGTCGGCCGACTTGACATCGACACACACACAGCTGGCGGAGCAGGCAGCTAATCTTACTTTTTCACTGCAAAACACTTTTTACTGACCTCCAGCTCTCTCTGTAGCTCAGACGATCCCTGCTACCTGCGTGTGCTAATCCATTCTTTCACCCAGATTCTTTTTCTTTATAATTGCGCTCTTTATAATAACAAACAGCTGTTTCATGTGTAGGTTCGCGTCATTCACATTCACCACAAAACGTGGTTTGGAGACCAGCGTCGGGTGACAGAGTCGCTGTCAGCTCGTGTAGTGTGTGACCCCCTGTCACCGATCAGTCACGTAGTGTGAACGCCACAACGACTTCAAGACTCCCGTCACAAGACGGCAAGTTGTGTAGTGTGAACAGCACGGCCATTGGCCGACGCTGAAAGTCGTGTAGTCTGCACAAGCCTTTAGCCTCAGGTGTCACCAACGACCATGACGACTAATGAACCAAGAAGTATCCATCATCTTTATAACGACCCCACAGAGGTTAAGTAGGTGGGATTCCCTGCCAGTCAGTCAGAACTGAAGAAGCCTCTTGGATGATAGGCGAAACATCTTCTAGTATCTTCAACCTTGAACAACTATGACCTGGATGAGTCTTCACAGACTGGCCAGATCACGGGACAAAAATCAAGTAAGATTTTTTTAAGATAATAGCTATGGGATTTTTATTAGCAGTTGACAGATTGACTGAAAGTACGGGGAATTGATATGCAACAAAGATCTTCCCAGCTGGAAGAAGTGGGTACACTACTGTTACATGCTATGCATCCAAGACTTGATGGGCATTGTTGTATTTACATTGTTTTTTTTCATTTCAACAAACAATTTGAAAATGGATAGTTCAAATGGATTTTATGTATTGACATGCGGCGCAATCTCAATGATCAGTGTCCATGTTCAATGTTATACTTTGTGTCTTATTTTTATACACATGTTCTTGTGGCCTGCTGGAGATGTGATGTGTTTCTGGGGTTTGATTCTCCAATTTGGTACCAACCTGCTGGATCCCTAGACAGAGGTAGAGGATGCTGTCTGGAGAGTAACGCTCCCCGCTGGGCCTGCAGACCTCCCTGACAAACCGGGACAGAGCTGTGTTCAGCTCCTCGGAACTCAACGACAACAGGTTACTTTTAGACCGGGCTGCAGGAGATGGGAACAGACACCGATTGCTGTTAGCAAACACATCCTACATGTTTTCAAATATGATAATCAAGCTTTAATTTTCAGCCAAGCACTGCACAGTAACTCTCATATGCTACACTACTCAGCCATGGCAGCAAGTTGGGTTTTGCTTACCTGGTTTGGAGCAGTCCTTCTCTTTGGTGTCATCTGATTTGTCAGAAGTAGACAGTGCCCAGCGTTTCCATGCATGGATGCCATAGCGAGCTTTGAGAGGCAGCGACCGTCCTTCTGAGTGTCTGCCTGCCGGACTGGAAAAAGAGTACGAGGCGAGATCTGAGCTCTCCTCTACTGCCTGCCTCTTGTTCCCCTGCAACACAAACACCAATTGCTATACAGGAAACTTAACTTGGCCAATACAAAGTTTCTTGTATATATGTTTACATGTATATATGTGTTTGTGCATACTTTTCTCCTGGGCTGTGGTCGAGGTGTCGACTCCTCCGGCTCTGCCTTCTCCTCTGCCAGGAGTGGAGGTAGAGAGAAACCCATATCCTCGTCCATTTCCTCCAGGACTGGTACAGGGTCTGAGGCTGAGACAGGAAACATCTTATTTGTTACATGGAGAAAATATTAATCCAGTCATGATGGGATACACTAGATTAAGGAGAATTTACAACTGTTGACAAATACTGTGTATTACTACACTTAAAATGACCTTACATATAGTTAACTATATTACAGTGTGTTATAAATGTTTATAGATCATTTAGAAATCCCACTGTGAGACATCCACCATTGTGTCCCTGAGCAAGACACTTGACCCCTAGTTGCTCCAGAGGCGTGCGACCTCTGACGTGTATAGCAATTGTAAGTCGCTTTGGATAAAAGCGTCAGCTAAATGAATAAATGTCGAAATGCTAAATATTAGGAGGATTAAATTAAAGTGTTACCACATTGATTTATCTGGCAACAAATGCTGTTTATGACAACATTTAGCCAGTTTATTTACCAAAGATTACTCAATAACACTGTTGATAACCTTTACTATAATTATTCCACCTTTCAACATGACACTTTATAGAGAGCCTAAGTCACTCGCTTCCTCTTCCACTTATTTCAGAAAATTTATGTATAGTAGTCAATGGCAAGAGGCAACTTATTTTTGATCCTGTTTGAACTGTGTGCCCTGAATTACACATGATGTTTGTCAATTTAAAAGAATTTTCTCCGTCAAGAAAGTTGCAGTTTGTCGTAAAACAGTAAAGTTTCGTCGTTTTGTGTGAAAACCGTTCAGTCATTGCAGTGTCTCATTTAATAAGGAAGCACTTAGAAGACTCTGACGCTTATGCACGTGTTATATTTGCTGATTTTAGTTCTGCTTTTGATACTGTCCGTCCTCATTTGCTCATTCAGAGGCTTGCTGACATGAAAATTAATCCTTTAATTATCAAATGGTTTTACTCTTAACAAAGTGAAGGTAAATGCTACACTATCTAAGACAAAATATTGTTGTACTGGGGTACCTCAAGAAGCTGTCTCTTGTTCACACTTTATACTAACGAGTGCAGAAGTAATGAGCACAACTACTATGTCATAAAATTCTCTGATGACAATTATTTTAAGTTTATTGCATGTTGGCGACTGCCCTTCAACTTATTACATGGAGATTGACTTCTTTAAGGATTGGTGCGTGAGGAATAATCTCATCCTGAATAATTTGAAAACAAAAGAGATGATATTTGATCCCAGGGAAGTGAGAGCCCATAACAATGTAGTCAATGGGGGCAGAGAAATTGAGCAAGTAACTTCATACAAGTACTTGGGTATACAATTAGATAACCAATTAAAAGGAAATGTGCATGTCGACTATTTGTGTGACAAACTGGCCCAGAGACTGCAACATCTCCGCAGATTGAGACTGGTAGGGGTGAGTACTAAAATCATGACCATGATCATTTTACAATGCTGTGCTGGAAGGTCTGATCAGATATGAAATGGCATCCTGGTTTGGCACCATTACCATCCAGTTCAAAACAAAAATTGGAAGAATAAAAGCTGCGATGAAGGTTATGGGAAAGAAAGGCTACACTTCCCTTCAGACCATCTTTGAAAATATGGTAGTCTCCCAGGCTCAGAAAATTCTGAAGGACCCTTCCCATATTCTGCACTCTGAATACGATGTTTTACCTTCAGGAAAACTCCTTAGAGCTAGCAGATGTAGAAGTAACCGCTATAAGCAGTCCTTCATCCCAACTTTCATAGCGCTCCTAAATAAACAATTTGCTTGGAACAAGATGGCTTGAAGCACTTCCAGCACTTTATTTATAAGCATAGTTTAATATTGTTTGATCGCTTGCACTAATGTTTATCAACCAGATCTTATATGAGTTTCTCTTTTTTTAATATAGAATTGTGGCAGTTGTACTTTCAGTGTCTGTCATCTGCTTTAAGTGCAACTGAATATAATAATTCTGAGGTTTCATATCACTCAGGTTCTACTTACCTTGTAATCAATGATTGAAACGGGCAGGGTCATAGATACTTGTGTAATGTAATGTAAATGTATGGTGGATTATATGATATATTTGAGTGTAAAGTCCATAAGTGTTACTGGTGTTTACTGCAGCCTCATGCAGCACTGATGCCCAAGACAAATTTCCCTCAGGTGCCAATAAAGTTTCTTAATCTTAATGAACTACATCTCTCGTCTCGCGCAATATACGTCACCAACATGTTATCGCGGGATGCTACCTAACGTTCACTGCTTGGTTGCTGCTAGCTAGATAACATAGCTATGTTCCACGCAGAAATATATCTCACCTGATGTGTTTTATCCAACGACTCAGTCCTTTTATCACATTATCCACACATGTAAGTTCTTTGACGTCAGTCATTGAGAGAAGTTACGTCACAGGAACTGTTAAGTTTGAGGTCTTTGTAATTATGTATTTTTTACAGTCTTATACCTCAGTTCAAACTGTGACTTTGACTTTTAAATGTATATTTTAAATTGACCATCATCATATGTCTAATTCAGAGCACAATTCAAACAGGATCAAAAAATTTGTGGTCCCTTGCCATCGACTACCGTAACGTTACATAATTTTTTCCTGATGTAAGGTCCCATGGTGGTCCACCGGAACGGGAGGGACTATAGGGAGGCTCTCTATAGTCTGTCTGCTACCTACAGAAGAGCTGGAATGGAACAGAGATTTTCAACAATACATATAAACAAAAGAAATGAAAGCTGAACATAGTGAGAGATGAGAACAAAACTTAAAAAAAAAAAGTCTTATTCCTGGTCTGGTTATGACTTCAGTACGTGAAACTTTAAACCCTCTGGCCTGATTGTGATGACCCCAGCAGGCCCAGAAATAACCAAAGGGAGGAATTTTAATCTCAATTACTGTACTGATCCATTAAAAACCCATGCAGCCAGATGCTGTTACATAAGAGCTTCTTCACTAAACGGAATGAATCAGGAGGAAAAATGCACACAGAGAGAGGAAGTCAGAGTGAGCGTTTGAGACAAATCAGTCCCTCCAGGATTTCACCAGCCTTTGTGTGACTGCTGCTGCCTCAAATGCCTGATTTTGCAGCAGGATTTCTAAAATAATTGCCATTTTTTTGTGATAAAATTGTGGGAATAAGTGAAAACTGCAAAGGTTTAAATTTTGCTTCAGATATATAGCTCTAACCCTGCATATTTAAACCAGCTTACCTTGATTCTTTCAGTGTTTGCAACTGACCAGGATGAAACCGCCTGTGCTACAGGGATTTGTCTTGTCTAACATCCTCTGTGCGTTTATGCCATTCTAGACGGTCCGCGCTGAATTCACAGGGATTTGTTATATTTGTGATGTGCAATAGTTGCTATCGTGACATCGCAAAATCTTTTTAACTTTGCTTTCAAACTTAGGAGGCACCAAATAAATGTGGAATGATGTCTTGAAGTTGCAAATTTCAAGAGACAAAGGGTTTGGTCATTAAGAGTGATTAAGTAAACTGAAAAATTCCAAAAAAATAAAAAAGGTTACTTGGCCTAAGAAAAAAAAAAATGTTAATCTTGACATCTAATAGAAGAGTTCCTTCATGTCAGGAATATTTATATTCAGTTATTTTTGGTATGATTTGATTGGCATCTGTTGTACTTACAATTTTTAACTGTGGTTTTCATTATTTATTATACTTTTTTTAAAATTTTGTTATGTAAAAAAAATAAAAACACATTCAATGTTTTATTTTCAGTTTAAACAATGTCAGTATGTTTGACTTTGACTGTCACACCTTGAAATCCAGAGCCTGTCATTACCAACTGCAGAACTATTATTTATGGCTTTAACATTATGACAGTGATTCTTCCTGACTGGCACTGCCTCGCTGGCATCGACAGGTCTAGAACTACATGTACATGTACCTTGAGGAAAGTCTGCCTCCAGGTCCAGGTCGGGCTCGTACTTGTCCTCCTCCTCGTCTTCCACCTCCGCCCCCCCCTTCTCCTCCTCTGGCTCTTCCTTCAGCCCCTGCTGCTCTTCCTCCTGCTGCTCCTCCTCCTCCACCTTCTTCTTCTCCTCTTGTGCCTCTTCCTCAGAACTGCTGCTGAGGAGGACGACTCCTCTCTACGTTCACTCTTCACCTTCATCGACTTCACATCTGAAACACACAGCCAAGTAAGTTCTCATTGGCATCATTAGCTGCAGCCTTCTTCAAATCTAAATGGATCTTGTGTTAAGATTGTGAATGTTGTAACAACATTGTTTTTAGAATGAAATGTTTTGAGTACAAGTTTGTTGATGGTTTGGGCACCACAAACAAAATTTAATTCACCTCCATTGCATCAGGGTCGTAAGCGGAAGTCCAGATATTTCAATACCAGGTCCAATAAAACCAAAGCGTACCTGGTTTCTGGTCCTCTGCGATCATGTCAGCCATGGAGAGCAGGTCAGCCTCCAGAGGGTCAGAGGGCAGCTTGTTTTTCAATTCGTTGATGGTCTGGATGATCTGCTCTGCCCCCTGCAGGGTGGTGGGCAGGAACACAGGCACTGGAACCTGGACGGAACACAATATACTTTGTTGGTTAGTAATCAGACAACTTTGGCAATTGTCTCCTTACTTTACTTGGGTTTTTTCCTCAACATTTTTCTAGACCTACATTTGTACACTTAATTGTTGTGGGATTGTAACATTTATTAATACACAGGCCTTTATTAATTTGTCTATGTCAACACCTTTACATGATGAGTTTTGGCCTTTTAGCATGAACATGTGTGTTCATGAACCAAACATCGTGTCTTACCGGTACAGGCAGAGAGACTGGAGTGGGAGTGACCTGGGAATACATATTCATGGGCACGGGGATGAAGACGGGCACAGGTATGGGTACAGGAACGTACTCCCTCTTCACACCATCGTCTACATCTGTGGACACAGAATCATAACATTATATATGCAGATCAGTATGTATATTAATGGGTCATGAAGGAATGATTTCAAAGGGCAAGTGGCAGGAATCTTGTTAAATCTCCACATAGCTGTTGTACCTGGAACCAGGCGAAAAAATCTCAAACGTGTAAAATTGTCCCAATTCCATTGCTTTGCTATAGCAACCTTTAGCTGCGAGCATACGCTCTTCACTGGAACCTTCATACCATCTCCGATTCAATCCGGTATCTTAACTACATCATATAAGGTTCCTGTGTGGGTGGGTGTAACGACCCAGAGGTATCTAACTGGCAGCCATGATAAGAGCTGGACAAATTCTCTCAGTGCTAACGAAAGGTGCTTCCGTTCTTATGTCCTGAACCACTGAACCATCCTTTATAAAAGGAAAGGAGATAATGCCATCCTAAACTTCCCTGCAACAGCAACATGTAAAGCGACACCATTGTAGTTTCACCACGGTAGACCCACATAAATATAGAAACAGCACACAATCCAAAATTTATGAAAGTCCCTGCATGATTGGCTGAGCTCCAAATCCATAAATAGAGATTTCTTCTCTAAATTATCTAGTTAGTAATCTTGAAGAAGCAGCATACTGAATTGCTAGTTAACAATATCACCACCCCCCATTGTGGAATGCACTGCTCAACTTACACTATTGTATATTGCTTTTATATTATTTAAAAAAAAATTTTTTTAAACAGTATCTATTTTGTTGTTACTTCCTGTGAGTAACTGATGGTTAAAGCCCCCCTCCATTTTGACATTTCTATGATATGTCATTTCCTTACAATTTTGATTACCCATAGTTTGCCAAATAGCTTAATTTTGTGCTCAAAGTTGCAAAAGTTGCTTAGTTGTTAAAACGGGGTGGTGACGTATGACTATAGAAATTCAAAAAATGGCAGTTAAAACTGGCTGGAGGGGGACTTTAAGGTTTACCACAAGTATAAATTGAAAACATACTTTCTTAGGAGGTGTGATTCTGTTTTGGAAACATTACATACAGCATTGAGGTTGTCACTGTACTTATCTTCAAAGTGTTTTAAAAACGTTTTTTTTAAATCCTAGTCTAAGTGCATTTGGGATTCTCTGAGCAGGGTGGCTGTCTCCATCACACCTTTACTTGACCTCATGAAGTTTTCTATTGAGGTCAAGGAAAAGTGTTTAGGGAAAGACATTCAATTTGTAGCACTCTTAAGACGCTGCGTTTACCCGTCTGTAAAAGTTTGCTCTGCATGTGTGGCTTGCAGTAGGTAGCCTTGGTCAGGGTGAGCGGTTTGCAGAGAACTGCCTTGTTCTTGACGTCTCTCGCCAATCCTCCACCAGCGTATGGCACAGCGCCCTGGTTCACCAGATGCAACATGGCAGAGATTAAAAAAAACAAACAGAAATGTGGCTTCTGCTTTTATGAAAATGTTCATTTGTTATACGGAAACATTTTTCTTTTAAAGGACGTTAAGTAAGTATGCACTACATTTCAAAACTATTAGGTGGTAAATTCAATGACATTTGTACTAAATGCACAAAAAATACAAAGCAACAAGTAATGTTTCATAATTTTAAAGCAATCTGTATTATAATGATTGACTTGTTTCCAAATTCTTACTTACCCCAAGTTTGGCCCCTTGCATTTCATACCCTGTAAAGGAGGAAAATGAAATACGTCACATCTTTGCCTCATAAAGAAATCATGGCATGATTTTATAAAAAGACTTTCTGATCACAACGCTTCTGATAACATTAATTCATACCCTAATGACCGTTAAACAGAATTGTGTTACATGGAAGGGTAAGGGTCATTTGTAGGAAGACCTTAGTAATTTCAAAGGAAACACACACACTCTGACTTTTTACCCAGGCTGCTGTTCTCTGGGCCTTTCTGTGTGACCATGATGGGCTCGTTCTGCTGGCAGTAGAACTTCAATAGACACTCTTGATCACAGAAATGCTTCATCTCTGCTCTCCACATCACAGACTCTGTCAGGTTACCCTGCACCTTACAGCAGTCACACCTCGCCGCCTAGTGGCCACAAGATGACAGTTACAGAACATTCACAAAAACATACCTGCGGTACAAATACAATTGTTTAAATGTATTAACAATATACACAAGAGTATGATCGGACCTTGTAGTACCAGTCATTGAACTTCTTGGAACAGGCCTCGCTGCAGAAGTCCCGGGTCATGCCGCCGAGCTGCCGGGTCACACTCCTCTTACAGAGCTGGTTGCAGTGGTTACAGCTGACACACTTCAGACCCAACCGCTTGATAAAATCCTGCTTAAATAACAGCTTACAACCTGAAGAAAAAAAAAAAAAACAGAAGGAAATAGGCTCAGATATGGAAATGGAAAATAACAACAAAAAAAAATTAAACACTACACAGCTAGAAAAACAAAACAGCTACCGTGGGATACGATCAGTCTCTTACTACTTCAAAAATGTGTCGAGTCGAGGAGGGAAGGAGAAAGGGAAGAGAGGAGATCAGTACCTTCACTGCAGAAAGGTCTCTTGACCCCGGAGAACTTGACCATCTCATGTAGCGTCTTCTCCTCTTGGCAGTACTCACAGAACGTCACAATGCAGTGCAGCTTCTTGTAGTCCTCACAGCATGTCTTACTACAGAACTGGTAGACCTTATCCTGAAGACACACATTCAGATAAATGTATTGTACCTATTCTGGCTTTAAGAGTATTATCCCAGAGAAGCAGCTAGAACCAGCAAATTTTGGCAGTTTTACTTAAAAAGAAAAAAAAAAGAGAAGACAAATGATTAATGAAAATGATTGCAGATTAATTTTCTGTCGACTGAATAATGGTTTCAGCTCAGAGGAAGACTTAGTTTTCGTTTGTCTATGGTACTACACTATGACACAGAGCATTATTTGTGGAAGAAGGAGACATCGACTGTCTGCCTGTCTAAAAATTAGGAAACTACTTCTCAGGATGGTCTCACCTCCCACTCCAGTGTTTCAGGCTTCAAGCTGAATGCTCCTCGACAGTAGTTGCATTTCAGTTGGACGGTGTTGTTTGTAGTGGAGAGGGGCGTCTGTCCATTGGTGGCCGTTTGAAGAGTAGCATTCTTTACAAAAAAACAAAACACAAATATAAAAAGACATCAGATGGACTAAATGAAAAACATGATGACTTGCAGCTGGTGATCAACAACATCTAAAGTGTCTAATGCATCTTTATATATCAAAACCACCTGGATGTACTACAGAGGTATTTAATGAAGCTAATTAACACATCGACTTGCAAATCTCTTTATCTATGTATTATATGAACTCTGTATCATTAATAATGTTAGACTTGTGGTAGTTTCAAGAAAGTAAGTTGTCTCGTTAATATGCAGATTTATGCAACATGGTGCTAAAGAACTAATCAGACTCCACTGATGGAACCTGTCGTGTTTTGAGCTGCCGTTTTCTTGAGGATGTGTCATGTGAGTAGAGGATGACGGCATACTGGACGACTGGGTATTATTTTTGCAACTTTAACCATCATTCCCATCAAGTATAATAACATTTTATCTCCTACTAATTTATACAGAAATTGTGACACGGAGTCCACTCCACACAACTGGAGTTTGGGGGTGGGGTGGGGGTCATTGGAAACACCAACTATCAGTATGTCTAGTTTGATCCAATCATCTGACCTATTTAATTACATGAGACTAGTATGTAGGCTTTATTCATCCTCACAGCAGCTAAGACAAGATGTACAAAACAATACAGTGTTTTCAACTATATCAAAGACCTATTGTGCTTAATAATAGAGAACACATCAGTTTTTTTATTTTTAAAAGCACTCAGATTTGTGTCTTCTGGTTTTAAAAGACAAAAAGGAGTCCCCACCTGGAACTTGGTAACACACTGTGAGCTGCAGAAGTTGAGGATGTTTCCCTCTGGCAGTGTGGCCTGGTACTGGGTAATGAGTTCCTCTTACAGAAGTGACATGTGGGCTCAGTGTCTGCACACACAATTAAGTGTTAAAACTCACATGAAATACTGTACATTTACACATGCTTGTGACTGAAGCAGCTGTTTGACATACATATTCATTCAATGTTTGGTAACGCTACTTTGTTTGCTGGCATGAATACCAATAATTAGGAATGACAAACAGGTTAACAGAAGCTTTTCTCTGCTGCTTTTCCAAGTCAGTTATCAATCATCAGAATATACAAACCAAGAAATAAAGGTTGCTTGTGTATGTTTCTGCAACTGCCTACTCGCAGCCTTGAGAACATAACCTTATGTTGCTAAGATCTCCAGGACATCTTATGTGACCTATGAAACTGTGCAGAAGTCTATCTGGAGATCATATTGTGGTCTTAATAAAAAAACAAAAGAGAGTAACATGGTAAAATACTGAAAGGTAGATTCTGGAGGCCATTAAAAAAATAAGTCAATCTCTCTGGACACTTGAAAGTCTGTTTCAGAAAAGATTCAGAATGTGTTAACCATCTTGCTTGTGTAGTGCGGTTACTCACTAATGAAGGAGGTTGCCGTCAGCTTTCCCTTGTTCATGCAGTTGACGGAGCAGTAGGAGCCCATGGTGCCGCCCGCTCCGAGGCTGTGGAGCACCTCGCCTGTCTTAATCAATGTTTTGCAAGTCAGGCAGGTCGCAAATTTACTGTGGGCCTGGGACAGAGAGGGAAAAATCTCATGTAAAAACAACAAGCGACTTAATGTTCTTCAACGACACTGAGAGTATATTAAGTCATTGCTAAAGATAATTGACTAAACAATAATGTTTGGATGTTTATTAATTTTAATGCACATGGTGCTTCAAAAGCTAATAAATTGAGCTTTTTTAAATTACCTCTAGAGAATTAGCAATTAGGCTTCTATCAAGTAGTTTCAAGACTTTTTATTCATCACAGTCACACAACAGACATAATGACACAATATCCAAGCATAACACGCACCATGGGGGAGGGACATAAAAAGTGCAAAGAGAAATAAAATGACGTGATTATTAACTGTGGGAAATCCTGGTGGATTCACTGAAGGAAAAGGTTTTAATGTGTTTGTTGTGAATCAAATGCAGTTTCTGGTTTTTGTTGAATAGAGCTTGATGACATATGAGCATTAGCGGAGCACAAATCACCCCGTGTACTGTACTGTTTTGCTTTGTGATCCATTTCCCACTGTCCACAAAAAGGACACAGGACAAAGAGTATATAATCTTTGTCCTATCATCATCATCATCATCATAGCAGCAGCAGAAGTAGCAGCCTCAGCTCTGGAAATCTATTCCTGCAGTACTTGATAAAATGTACCATCAATATTTGTTGACCTGTCACCATTTTCACTTTTACTTATTTCATCCTACAAAAGAACAACAAGTTCTTGTCAGTTCTTACAGAGGAGCAATAGAAAGCATCCTAACTGGTATCACAAACTGGCATGGGATGCAGGACCCAGGACTGGAGGGCTCTGCAGCGGGTGATTAAAACTGCTCAGAAGATCATTGGTACCCATCTCCCGAGCATCAGTGATATCGGTGAGGTGCCTACACAGAGCCCAAAGGATACTAAAGGACAGTACCCACCCAGCCACAGCCTGTTCACCCTGCTGCCTTCTGGGAAGAGAAAGGAGTTTCTGCTGCCACACCAGACTGCAGAGCAGCCCCCCAAGCCATCAGACTCTTAAAATCAAATTCATCCTCAGCACTGCTCCATTGATCATTGAATATTGTTTATTTCTGTTTCTGTTTACTTTTATAATTGCTTCTGTATTAATGCATATTGTCTGCTATGTAGCAGAAGGCAGTTCAAAGCTCAATTTCATTATATAACCTGTTATATTGGGACAATAAAATGTACTTATCTACCAAGGCCAATGCAATGAGTGAATAATAAGGTGATATTACAATAATGAGTTTATTTTAGTTCTTACAACAAACTGAGCTAAGAAATTTGATTCCTCTTTCCTGCTGGCACAAGTTGTGATTTTTCTACTTAGAGGACCAGATAGTTTGCCAAATGAACATTTGTACTTTATAGAAATGTAGACAACAGATCAGATATAAAAAAGAAAGAAAACACATTTAGATGCCCAGTGGAGGCAGGTGACTTTTCTCTAGCCATATATCATCCAAACACTCTAACCAGCTGTGCAGGTTTATACACAACAGCCCATTACAGGACAAAGTGGACATCAGAGAAAGAGCAGCTCATTTAAATTTTATACCACTGAAATGAGACAAACCCCATAGTTTCTTCCACGTATTAGTGACATGTCCAATAAGTTGGTGTTGCCAAGCAACAAATACAATTACAACCTCTTATTCCATTTTTTTTTTTACATAGGTAAGTAGGTTTATTGTCACAATATAACAAGTTATAGAGTTAGAGTAATACAATTTAGTTCTAACATGATCAGTCAACTTTAATTAAGATAATTAGAAGAGATTTCAGAGGTGTGCATGCATAGTGATATTACAGGTAGAAATAAGGCGAGTGATTCATGTCTCATTAAACCCTGCCAATCATTTGGAGATTCTTAGTCTACCTTCACAACTTTGCAGGTCATACTGTTCAGAATCAGAGTTCTGTCTGTCACAGCTTTAATTTTAAATAGATATGGTTGAATTAAATAAATTAATCCATCACGTGGGCTCCACGCAGGCACATTTCACACCTGCATCCTGAGGTTGGGCCTACAGTACCTGCTTGTACTCCCTGATGCAGTTCTGGCAGCAGAAACGTTTCTGTTGGCCATCGACCAGCAGGAAGTGGTTGGCCGACGCTCGACTGGGCAAGTAGTCGCCACATTGCTCGCAGCAGTTCATGATCAACCCGTTGGCCCTGCGGTAAACGTTGAAACATGTGTCGCTGCAGATCTTATGGGTCACAGTCTTAAAGCTAACCTCGTGCCGGATCTGTAAAAAATAGAAAAAAAAGCAGAAGGGGCAGCAAAAGCTTGATTAACTAAACATCATTTTCTTCAGTTACTTTTAATTTGCAGACTTCTCAATCTGAGAGTGGTTATGCATCACTCGGTTCCACTAAATGTTAGTGAAGTTCTAGCTTAGTAGAAATCTTTTCAGTGGTAATCCATCAGTGCTTCCCACTGTGAAAACAGAGGCTTCTACTTGAACAGCTAAACACCTCTTGCATGTACAGAATTTCTTTGGTGTGTTACAGACAAACATGTTCTTGATACAATTCAAATATACACACCACCACTGAAGGATGTATAAACCTCGTCATTTTAATTCATGCAACACCTCTGGCAACTGGCAAGGATGACACTGAAATTAAAATCAGCTAAAGCTATAGGGAATGACAGGAAAGAAAAGACAGAACAGAAATAGTGAATGAGAGAACACAAGCACACAAGGAACAAGAAAAGAGATAAATATTGAATGAAAGGGACCTGAGGAGGAAGACAAAGCAGAGAAAGAGGGAGAGACACAGAGGGAATGTAAGGATATTCAAGAGATGAGAATAAAAAAAATAAATAAAAAAAACACACAGGACTCCACAACCATAACATTATTTTTAAACAAACAAGGGCATAAATAACGAATGGAATGTGAAGTTGTACAGGAGACTAAGGACCCGATCAGACAGAAAACACTTTGCAGGTTTGGAAACGCGAGGCGCACAGCAATGCCTTTTTTGGTTGAATTTAGAAAAGAGCAGTGCGCTGCATATTTTTTATGTTGCTAGGCAACCATCAAATCAGCTTTCCTGTCAGTCTAAGATCATAGTGCCAGCGATTTCTAATCTTTGGTTTGCCACCAAGTGATAACTGTCATTTTAGCCGAAACTTGATCACAACTCACAGGTCTGTGTCTTTTGTTGCTAAAAACATCTAATTTAACAAATAAACAAACTGAGGGCGCTTGCTCTGGCACCGTTTGAGGGTGAGAGGTATTTAAACATGCATGAGACAGGGACATGAGACCCTCAGAAAGGGTAGACACTGCTGGTAGTAGGCCTACCACCAGCTGGTCCAGTAGCTTTATCTTAAGGCTCATGCAGACTATACAACTTTCAGCGTCGGCCAATGGCCGTGCTGTTCACACTACACAGCTCGCGATCACACTATGTAACTGATTGGTGACAGAGGGTCACACACTACACAAGCTGACAGCAGCTGTGTCACCCGACGCTGGTCTCCAAACCATGTTTTGTCAAGAAAACACATGTAATGTGAAACGGGAAATGACACAAACCTTCAAACAAAACAGTGGTTTGTTATTATAAAGACAGCAATGATAAAGACAAATAATCTGGGTGAAAGAATGGATTAGCACACACAGGTAGCAGGGACTGTCTGAGCTACAGAGAGAGCTGGAGGTAAGTAAAAAAGTGTTTTACAGTGAAAAAGTAGCTGCCTGCTCTGCCAGCTGCCTGCTCTCAGTGGCTGGATGTGGACGTCGAGTTGGCGGACTCCTCCAGATATTTGGTATGCTACATATCTGGCTGGTGACTGTGATGTGATAGAAATGTGTTGGGGAGCCGTTTTGATGCGTTGTTGTGTAGTTCACACATAACGACTGGTGACTGCCGATCATCCACTGATTTACTCCCGATCACAGCCTGAGGCTCTCTTTGTATTGGACTGCATTACATTGTAATGTTTTGTCCACCCAGAGGGAGTCAGAGTATTAGAGATACCTCCAGATTGCATTAAGCCTTGATTATACTTCAGTGCAGAAGTGGAAGTAGACCGCTGCAGACTTGCTTCTATACATACTGCAATCAGGGGTCTGCATACACACACGACACACAGACTCTTCCTGACAGCAAGAAGAGGAGCTATTTTATTTGAAAAAAAATTGAAAAAAGAAAACCATGTGTTCGACTGCTTAGCAGAGAACTATCAAGGCTATCAAGGTGTGGAAACCATGAATTGGTGTTTTCACTGGATAGGTGTAACTAAAACACTGGTAAATCAGTGTACTAGTGAATGCCCATGAAGGCCCCAGACTCATTTCCATCCACTCTTGCCTTTACCGTTTTACATAGTGCTACTCAATTATTCATTCTGCTGTCAGGAATATATTCGCATGTATGTTGCTCAGGTTAAAAATGGCATATGAAACGGACAATAGAGTAATGTGTGTTGCTAAGTGTGTCAGACAGTCTGACCTCGGTGAGCTTGCCGCAGACAGTACATTTGGTTTTGAGGCTTGATTTGGGCGGGTTTTGCTTGTTCTCGTATGCACCTAGGCAGCCTGTGCTGCAGAACTCCTGAAAAGACTCGCTGGAGTCGACCTGGGCCACGATGGTACCCTTCATGTTTGTGATGTCCCTGAAAAACACATCACAGAGCACAGATAAGTTAACATCTACAGAAAGTGAACATCACTTTAAAAAAAAAGCTGTCCTTGTGTTTAAATACTGTGTTTAGGACATGCAAAGATAGGCGTTAAGACAGATAAGCAGGGGAGGCATGTAACTAAATGCATTTACTCAAGTACTGTAAAGTACAAATTTGAGGTATTTGTACATGAGTATTTATTCTTTATGCAACACTTCTAATCCATTACATCTGTCTGACAGCTTTAGTTACTAGTTACTTTTCAGATTACAATTTTTCCATACGCTTCCGTCCAGTGAAATTTACCATGTATCTCTAAATGTTGTAATTTAGAATTTTAACTTTCACATAAACTGGAGGATTAGGTATTCTTTTATGGGTAGGGCTGCACAATACAGTAAAAAATATTATATTGCAATTATTTTGACAGATATTACGATTTGCAATATGATTCAAGATGAGTGGAACTGATCATTTTCCCATCACAATATTAATTTTTACTGAAAAAACTATTAAAATGATGAAGTAGCATTGGTTGGTGGCTGTACCAAACAAATATGTTTTCTTACATCTGGGGAACAAGATCTGTAGGTACTGGGATCTCTGCAGCACTATAGTACTTCAGTATAATGCTGTTTTTACACATTTTACCTTCATCAAATAATTGCAGCTTCTGCGATTTGGATATTGGACTTGGCCATATTGCCATTTCAATTAATTGTTTAGCCCTATTTAGGGGTTGAGAAACTTCTACTTTTAAAAGCTGAAAACAGGTCTGTTTTTCTGAGCTCATAAAAACTTTACCAGGTGATCACAGGACAGGGATGCTACAAGCCTATGATGATCTAATAGAAAATGATGCATTGCTGTTGATTAAACTAACCAACAGTATGTAAACAAGTTCAAATTAGTGTAACTGTAAACATCTACAGCAGTAAAATGCATGTTCAATCCTACACTGAAATAATATAATGTCTCCTATTGTTCATTGGGTTTCCAGCAGTTACAGGTTGTGACTCACTTTTTGCACATGGTGCAGCTCTTCTTGGGGGCGGGTTTGTGTGAGAAGGCAGAGAGACAGGTGGTGGAGCAGAACAGGTGTGTGGAGCCTTTACGTTGGTAAGCTGTTTGGCCTTTCTTCAGGGGCTTTTTACAGTTTGCACAGGTCACCTGGGATGAACACACACACATACACACAGACACACACAATGACTTAACTCCAGAGCAGTTTTACAAGAGCAATAATTTATTTCACCTCACTATTGGCTGCCCGGAGAGCTAGTATCCTTCTGTACAACACCAGCAGATACTTGCTGGTCTTGTAAAACTTTCTCACCCTTGGATCCAACGAGACTGTGTATACATTTTTTACACCTTCTTCCAAAAGAAAAGAAATAAATAAAACCAGCTACCATTCAATTGAATCAAAACACATAAGACAAAAAAGGGGCATTCAAAGAAAAAGGCGCAATCCCAGATTACACAAACTGCTGTTGTAGCCCCTCAAAATACAGTTAAACAGTACAACAAAACAGCAAAATATTGTTTCTTGGGTAAGAAAGTGAGCACTTTACAGCAATTAACATAACTGTATGCAAGAACTTTAACATTCATGTCAGTAATTGTATTTGACATCTGTTTTTGCATTATTCTGTACTGTGTGGTTTGTTCGTGTACTGCCGTTATGACATGCAGATGTTCCCCAGGGGATGGATGGATAGATCAGTAAAGTAGGTATGTATGTGTGTAAGCCTGAGAAATAAACATGGTCATCAATGCAGGAAATTATGTGTTAAATCCCACTTGTTGTTTCAAAGTAAAATTTCCAGTTACATTTATACTGATTAACCCATGTGGCATCTGTAAAGTTACTGCAGAGGAAATTCCGTGGTAACTGGTTGTGTACATTAATGTACAGAATATACAGATAAGGTTGTTCCAACTGCATCATAGGATTCCATTACTTTCACATGGAAATATAAAAACACAGATACAAATGTTGCATGGACAACTGAATCTCTAACTCTTAATTTGTAAAAACATTAAATACAATTTCCAGTTTGTCTGCCATGTAAATGTCCCCCTGTACATAATTAACTACAACTAATAAAACCAATGAACAGCGTTGATCACCTTGACTGTCCTGGGCTGTGGCTGGGAGCCTGAGGAGGAAGTAGATGAGGAAGACTGGCCTGGAGGTTTGGGCAGGGAGGTGGCTGGTGATGGAGAGTCGACCCCTGTCTGCTTTTGGTTGCGGGGGACTGAAGCTGACTGGGAGATCCACGAGTCTGGAGGGAAAGGAAGAAACAAAGTCAACAGTTGTCTCCATCCTTGTTTTCCTGAGTTGAAAAACAGTAAATGTATCAGGAGGATTCAGTTTGTCAGAGCAAGAGACTAACCATGTCCCAATTCTCCCCTTTAACCATTTTCCTCATTTTGGAATTGCCTTCAGGTTGGACTGGCTGTCCAAACAGAGATTTATTTATTATTTGCCAGGGGTAAAATAACAGTTTGGGACAACATTTGTGACTTTTACACAACATTAGAAGCTGAGGGGGAAACAAAAACATGTTAATATTGATAATGAGGGTGTTTATGGCCATCTTTTTTCCCCCCCATATTCAGCTGAGCAAATACTGATTACTAATTAAAGACGGAATGTCATTACTGTAAGATCAACCAATCAAGCACTAAGCACTGACTCTTGGTGCCGTTCTTTAACATTTGAACAGCAAGCTCCCTAAAAATGCCACCATGTTGTCTCACGTATTCAATTCTTAAAATTGGTCTCACTATTCCAATGACACCATGTGTCATATATGTGTGGACAACTCTGTGCAAATTTCTTTGTGTACTAAGGGTCTAGGTCTGCATGATTTGGACTGGGCCTCTTATTTTCAGTTAACAGATATTCTAATTCTACAGTAAAACTGAAACACAAACTACAAGCCAGGCCTTGTCGCCCAACATCAGTGGCAGAATGCAAATCCCTGCAGCCAGGTTCCTTGTGGAAAGTTATCCCAGAAGTGTGGAATGAGCCCTTCAAAAATATTGATTTCAAGTATGGGTGTCCACATACTGGTTATTTAATTGATTCTTTTTATATTTTACGCATTAAACAGCCATGTGCTTCTTAACTTCAGAGGTCTGGACATGTCTACCTTCCCTGCATTCCTTTCATACTAACATTTTGTAAATGCTCTGTATTTGTATAGCACCTTTCTACTCTTTGACCACTCAAAGCGCTTTTACACTACATCTGCATTCACTCACATTCACTGAGCCTAAGTGCTCAATCAGAAACTAACATTCACACACTGGCGGAACAGCCACCAGGGGCAATTCGGGGTTCAGTATCTTGCCCAAGGACACTTCGACATGCAGCCTGGAGGAGCTGGGGATTGAACCGCCGACCTTTCCGATTAACGGGCAACCCGCTCCGCCAGATGGTGGTAGAGGGGCACACAAGAAGGACAGGGGTCTTTGGCTGAAATCGACTCAGATATCAGGGTATGGGGTAGGCACCTTAACCATTAGGCTACAGGGGCAGCCCATAACAGAGCATCTTGACCAACCAGATGATTTAAATATACATTTTTACAGCTGTTTTTTAATCTTGGTAAAACTGACAACGAGGAAAAAAATAAACATTGCACTTGCAGTTAACACTACAAATCCATCTACCCTTAAACGTATTGCATCTCCAGCCAAATTGTTGGTTTGTTGTTTTTGTGCCTGTAAAACCGGATAAGATGCTGTGCAAAATGGAAATGGAAGCTAGTTAAAATGCATTTTTGATTTACTGGCTTAAACTGTAAACATGAAACAATGATGGACCCAAAATAAAAACTCCAGAAGACAGTTTTAGAAAACAGTACCACTGTCTGCAGTCTATAGCACCATCTGGAGTCCATGTGCAGCCAGACAGGAATATAAAACTGTCTCAGGCCCAGTCCCAACATCCCACCTTATCAGTACACAGACTTAAATGCCAAAATCTGTGAAGACTCAGGACTGTCCCACTGTGAAATCAGAAAGTGCCTGACGACTTACGTGGGGACTATTAAAGCCCTGTATGCACACTATTAGTCTGTAATGCTGTAGATTTTGTTGGACGGAATCACTCACAGGTCAGTGTTGTAATGTTAAAAAACAGGTATGACAGGAGTTGAGGAAAAACTCTGTGTCTGGCATTTTATTTCATGATTTCTCAAGATGCTGTCCTATTATTCATAAAGCACTGAACCACACCTTCCTCTCTACCTTCCCCTACTGTTTTTCCTCTGGATGTGAACATCCGCTCTGCTTGGTGTAAAAGAAGGGCCATTTCCATGAATTTCTTCATAATGCATTCTCCTTTCTATTATTTTAGTTATTTACTGAGTTTAGCTCAACAGTGTGTGACTTCACGTTCATAAACTGCTGCGTTCAGTTCACTAAAACATGAGCATGTTCAATGACCAGCACTCTTTAAGCACCTTCATCTACAACACAACACTACCTGCATCAAACTTTTGATAATCGATTTTACATGGAGAAAGGTACTGGTACGTATTTCCCCCCACTTAGCTGAATGTATCCAGGGTTTATGTTAACATGTAGGTTGCGAAAACAAAAATATATATAAGTAAACATGTGGCCTGCTACCACTCACATGATCGTGTTAACTAGTTTCAGGTGACAGCGAAATGGAGGTGTAAGCAAACAAGGCACTCATTTATTTTTTTTTAGCTCTGCTTGCGGACTGCAGGGACCAAAACCAAATGTGGCTTTCATTTTGGTCAAACATTTTACCTACAGGTGCTCCAATCAGTATTTTTTGAGCCGATCATCGATCACTGGGTCTATTTGAAGCCTTTTATTTATCATGTAGCATTATACAATATACATTTATTTAATTAGCCCTAAAAACTATGGATTAAGTATTAAAATTAACAGATGATAAAGTATCATGAAATGACAACTGTTTATTTTATTGCCAGGAATAAACTACTAAAACAAAAATAAACATAAACAAAAAAGGCTGTAGCCAAAATATTTAGGAGATTATGGAGCACAGGCATCATGAGTCGATGATAAACTATGAAGTAGCCGCTTTTTTTTCTGGAAAGCTCAGGCAGGTTCTGATGGCTTTAGGGGGTAGAGAGAGGGAGAGTGGGCTACAGAGAGGAGTCATAACGGTCAGTGAGATTTGAAAATAAGGGGCATTTAAATAAATAAAAGTATGAATGATGATGAAGAATATTTCCATATTATACTGTTAGTATATTGTTATTACTTACAGTTACTATATTCGTTATAATTTCATATAGTTTACCACTAGTATAGGCCTAATATTATTTCAGTGGGTTGTTTTTATTTATTTAATCCTTGTGCAAGAAGCACAGTCTACATCTTTTACATAGGCCTACGGCTTTACCTGAGGAGAGAGTAGCAAACACTAAACGGGAGGATACTGGGTGAGAACGGAAAAATACGGGAGTATCTCAGGGCAAACTGGAGGGTTGACATGAGAGGAGTAGAGAGAGAAGTGGGGTAACGTGAGGCCACATCCTCACTACCAAGGTTTTTTAAACAGTTTTTGAACAAATACGATCTCCATCCACAGCAGTGTTTTAGCTGCGTATCAGAGTTGATCTCTGTCTATATTAAAACGACTGAAAACACACATCGAGTAGCCTTTCAGGCACACTGGGCATGCGCAAGCTGGTGTAAACATTAAGCAGATGGTCTACTCCTCAATTGCAGAACATTTGGCGAAAGACAAAAGTAACACAGACGAGAAACCACACCAGGTATTTTTCTTTGCAATTGTTGCTTAACACGGGAGTACAAAGAGACGGTGGCGGCTGAAACCAGACTGGGGGGAGTCGCAAAGTACTTCCAGCGACACGCCCAGTAGGCTAACTGTTAAGTGTTATTTATACAGTACATATATTTTAATAAAAATACCAAAACTAAAACTCTGTCAGTAGCATCGTGTTTTGCATTGCATGACTGATAAGACCGAATCAGAAAGCCAAATGTGAGTATCTGTGTCATCGTTTTATAAAGTTCTGTTTTTGCCCAGCGGGTCAGCAGCATTTTCAAACAAACATCTTCTGCTTCGCTGTTTTAATCTGGGAGGCAGAAACGCAGCAAAAGAGCTCTGTTTTATAACGGATACTGAGAAAGTGAGGCAGTCAGTTGATTGAGTGCATGGCGCTTCTCTTTGCATCAGGAAACTCACACTGAAGGAGCAATCTCTCTCTGCGTGATGTGCAATTAAACTCCAGTTACGGGTGGCGTGTGTGTAAGATGAGCAAGACCGCGACAACTTCACATGATCACTACTGCTTGTTGCTCTGCTTGTCTGATTGCTGCTCAACTCTCATTGTAAATGATTAACTGGGCGCATCAATCGCTTCCTGTCTGAAAAGGACTTTGGTGCTAGCTAGCATTGAAAACCGCGTAGTGAAACCATTTTAGCTGCCGTTGAAAATTTGTCTGGCGAGTACTGCATCATCTGATCGGCTTTTCCAATCGGCCTTTTTAGCAACCACCCATCAAACTAGTTAAAGCCATTATCGACCAATCGATCGGAGCACCCTTAATTTTACCTGTGAGGACATGCCATGTTAAATTTCTTCATAATAAATGAATTACCTGCTCTGTTGTGCGTCCCTGTGTCTCCATTCTGTACCAGCTGGCCCATGGGGCCTGAGCCCCGCCCTGGGTTGAAAGAGGCTGTTGGTCGACCAGGTGGGGTGTCGGGATTCAGGCTGAACGCACTGCTGACCTGCAGACCATTTTCCTCTGCCTGGCCGTCACCTGCCTAAACAGACAAATTGCTTAGGTTAGCTTTTCTCCTCAGTGACAACACATTAGAAAACAAAATAAGGAACCCAAGACACAAGGGTGTCGCATGCTGTACAGTCCCTGCAATGAATCCAACCTCATCTAACTAGGAGCTGCCAGTGCAACTTGGATTAATACATATTGGCATAAAATATCAGCTCTCAGCAGCCATTATCCACTTTGCCAAGAATAAACCTGCTATGCCAATGAGAACACCTGCTTTCACCAGTGTCTATCAGCAGACAACATCAGAAGAACCAATATTTCCTGAAACCAATTAGAAAGCTACATTTTTAACTTAAAGCAAAAAAAAAAACAACACAAAGAGTAGAGATGAAACTAAAAGAGACTAAAGCAACATTAGATGAATATAAATAAAATAAATTCTGGCGATTCTCACCGCTGTGACAGCCGTCGTGCCGTCCTGCAGTGATTTCACAGAGGTTATCATCAGGTTCATGTCTGCCTGGACATCCACTTCATGTGGTGGAGTATTGACTGCAGAAACAGAGGAGCTTCCTTTCTGGCTACTGGAGCCCAGTGTGGTGACACTGGCAATCCTGATCTCTGAATCTGGCTCAGTGCTGCTGAGTACACCTGGCGAGTGGGGTTCTGAGGAGCATCCAGGTTGCGCTGGTGAGGAGGAGGAAGTGTCTTTCTGTTCAGAGTCTTCCTCATCATCAATGACAATAGGCTCTGATTCTGTGATTGGAGGTTTAGGAGGTGCTGCCACTGTAGATGTGCTGGAAGACGCAGGAGAACTAGGGGTCTTAGAAGACATCACTGCCGTGGACATGTCTACAGTTGCTGGCTCTAGGCAGTCTGTGTTGGGCGTGTCTTGGGAGAGGGTTGTGGCAGAAGGCTGAGGAGCCTCCTCCCCTACAAGAACCACATCATCATCATTGTCCTCTACGCCACCATCCTTTGTGGCTCCATCTTCTGTTACCATGGAAACTGCCTCCCCAGCCTCCTCTGAGGGGGGCGTGGTCTGCTGCTGGGGGGAGGGAGTGGCATCCATGGGCTCCACCCGCTCCCCTGCCTCTTCTGCTACGGCAGGGTTTGGTTCTGACTCCCCATCCATTGCTAAGGCAGCCACCTGGCAGAACACAAAGAAAAGGCCGTTAGGCAGCAATTATGTGAAGCCAGCCAGTGATTGGTTTGATGATGTCTGACACCTGTACAGGAAGCACAGGCATCCCCAGAGGCAAGCTCCCCACAGACTCATTGCCATCGTTAGCTACCACCTTTTCTGTGTCTGTCATCATTGGCTGATTTTGGTAGATATATTTAAAGGTTCAGTCTGTAAGATTTTTAAAAATACATTAGGATTGCTAGAAAACACTATAAAAAGGTGTTTTTATTTGGTTGAACTGACCCTTTAAAACCTCCCATCTAATTTTCAACCAAGCTTGTCCCATATATAAGTTTTTCCCATTTTAAACTACGACCCGTTTCCTCCAAGATTCAGCTGGAACCCTGATTTAACTTGATGAAAACGGATGCTGCAGCAATGCTGGGGCAGTGATGTGACCATTTCTGCTGTTACTTCACTTATATTACTGAGGTCCATTCAAACGTTTCTTTTTAAAAAGGTGACTTACAATGAGCACACATGCTACCAAGACAGAAACACTGGTGTGCTACAAAAATAGAAGCAAGAGAAGCAACAGTACATAACAGTAGCAGTTTACAGCGTGCAACTCTTTGAGACATAAAACCCAATAACACCAATTACTTTCTTCAGCATTCTTACTATTCTTATTAAATCATTGGTGGAACCAATAATTAAATTACTGGGACATGCTCATGCATTTGTATTGCAACCTGTACAGATTAGTCAGCTCCTCAAAAAGTGTACAGCTCTGAAATATTGAGAATGACTGCAACCTCAGTTCTAATACCTTCCCACTCGGTCTTAGTTAAAATACTTTTGCTGAGACAATTCTCACATGATCCAATATTGCTTCAGACATGCATTATTTTGACAGGGTTGAAGGATGCAGGCTTTGTGCTCTGTCTCAAGCCTTTCTGGTTGCATTTACCACAAAGAAACTCCACAAAAGGGGGGCAGCTAAGGCTCAAGAGATGTCGAGGCTGATGTAGAGGATCCTGACCCTACGACAGGGCTCAACGACAAACTGGGACGCATCTTTCTATGACTGGAAGTATCTCAAGATGCAAGTCCCTCAGCTGCCTATACGAGATCTGTACCATTTATTTCTCCATATTTTCCAGAATATGCAGTTCCCAAACACTGACACATGAAAACTAAATTAATTTTACATTTACTCATTTAGCTGATGCTTTTATGCAAAGCAAGTCACAACTGCTACATGTTAGAGGTTGCACACCTCTGGAGCAACTAAGGGTTAAGTGACTTGCTCAGGGACACATTGATGAATCTCTCAGTGGGAAATTAATCTTCCACACCAAAAGGCATGTGTCTTATCCACTGCTCCACCCCAGCACAAGTTTGCTTCAAGTATAAAAAGCAGACTCCCTGTGACATCTTTGTTCATTGCCTACTTGATCTGCTAATGGGAGCTAGCATTTTGAGACACCGTTTTACAGAATATGATCATGAATGCAACGTTAGCTTTCAGTACGATTTCCTGTACTCAGTGCTACAGACGTATTTTGGTCTGTATCAAAAAAGTATTTACGTTCTATACCAAGCCGTGCTAGAAAATGTCTTTATGGCTGATCATACAGTATCGCACAAAACTGAGTACACCCCTCATATTTTTGTAAATATTTGATTATCTTTTAATGTGACAACACTGAAGAAATGACACTTTGCTACAAAGTTGTGAGTGTACAGCTTGTATAACAGTGTGAAGTTGCTGTCTCCTCAAAGTAACACATTACACAGCCATTAATGTCTAAACCACTGGCAAAAAACGTGAGTAGACGGAGCTGGTGGATGTTAGAGACCATGCGCTCCTCCACCTTCCGTTTGAGGATGCCCCACAGATGCTTAATAGGGTTTAGGTCTGGAGACATGCTTTGCCAGTCCATCATCCTACCCTCAGCTTCTTTAGCAAGGCAATGGTCGCCCTGGAGGTGTGTTTGGGGTCGTTATGTCGGAATGCTGCCCTGCGGCCCAGTCTCCAAAAGAGAGGGGATCATGCTCTGCTTCAGTATGTCACAGTACATGTTGGCATTCATAGCTCCCCGGTGCCAGCAGCACTCATGCAGCCCCAGACCATGACACTCCCACCATGCTTGACTGTACGCAAGACACACTTGTTTTGTCCTCCTCACCTGGTTGCCGCCACACACGCTTCACACCATCTGAACCAAATACATTTACCTTGGTCTCATCAGAGCACAGCATGGTTCCAGTAATCTACGTCCTCAGTCTGCTTGTCTTCAGCAAACTGTGTGTCGGCTTTCTTGTACATCATCTTTCGTAGATGCTTCCTTCTGGGACGACAGCCATGCAGACCAATTTGATGCAGTGTGCGGAGTATGGTCTGAGCACTGACAGGCTGACCCACCCCCCCACCCCTCCAACCTCTGCAGCAATGCTGGCAGCACTCATACGTCTATTACCCAAAGACAACCTCTGGATGCGACGCTGAGCATGTGCACTCACCTTTTTTGGTCGACCATGGCGAGGCCTGTACTGAGTGGAACCTGTCCTGTTGAACCGCTGTATGGTCTTGGCCACAGTGCTGCAGCTCAGTTTCAGGGTCTTGGCAATCTTCTTATAGCCTAGGCCATCTTTATGTAGAGCAACAATTCTTTGTTTCAGATCCTCAGAGAGCTCTTTGCCATGAGGTGCCATGTTGAACTTCCAGTGACCAGTATGAGGGAGTGTGAGCGCGATAACACCACATTTAACACACCTGCTCCCCATTCACACCTGAGACCTTGTAACACTAACAAGTCACAAGACAACAGGGAGGGAAAATGGATAATTGGGCCCAATTTGGTTGTTTTCACTTAGGGATGTACTCACTTTTCTTGCCAGCGGTTTAGACATTAATGGCTGTGTGTGTTATTTTGAGGGAACAGCAAATTTACACTGTTATACAAGCTGTACACTCACTACTTTACATTGTAGCGTGTCATTAAGTGTCATTTCTTCAGTGTTGTCACATGAAAAGATATGAAATATTTGGGGGGTAATGTAGACTCAAGAACTACGAGCTACATGCCTGCTCAGCAACGGGGGAAACTTTGCTCCTCCTCCCTTCCTCCCTTCTCTCTCTTCCCGTGCTTTGCACCTCTTTACCAAACTACCCAGTACTCCACTCACCTGCTGTCTTTCACATCCCTCCCGCCCCTCCCCTCCCCATGTTCCCCGCCCCTGCTTGCCGCCTGTGCTCCTCGCCACGCAGCTTCTCTCGTGTTGCCCCCGGCAACTGGTGAAGCTATACCTTGGTTGCCGTGGTGACAGTAAGGCCCACCACCACCATGGGGACTCTGTGCTCTACATCTGGGTGCTGTTGAGTTGGCCAACACAATATTTAAATGGTTTAGATGTCATCCTATGTGATGCTGTCTTAATAAATGGCTATTCTGCAATGTATGTATTGCTCAAGGCAAAATGCATTTAAAGGTCCAGTGTGTAATATTTAAAAGAATCTATTGACAAAAATGCAAAATTATACCCACCACAACTATGTTTTCAGTGGTGTAAGACATTACATAATGAACTGTTGTGTTTTTTATTACCTTAGAATGAGCCATTTCTATCTACATACAAAGTGGGTCCCCTTATATGGAAGTCGCCATGTTTCTACAGTATCCCAAACGGACAAACGGCTATACACAGAGTGTTTTGTCACTACCGACAGAGCATGTCGGCTCTTGTGCTTAAATTGATATAACCTCATGGAGAAAATGTACAAAATTAGGTTTTTCACTGCTGAATTTACAATTGTCATTAGAGTTAATACTTTGTTTAATAGTTTGTTTTAAAGTACTGATTTCGTCCGAGGAGCATGTGAATTCATGGTCAGCCGCTGGGTGCAATTCGCAACACTCACCACTAGATGCCACTAAAACTTAATGCCAAACCTTCATTGGTAAAATGTTACTAAATGTGGCCTCTGAAGTCTCTCTATTAACCCAAAAGAGAAGAAATACAAGAAAATATGCTCATTGGGAGCCAAACTCTGGATCAAATATTACATGAAGTACTTTTGGGGATGTCTGCACTCTATGTTGATCTGTTTCTGTCAAAATCTCCTTTTCATGTCACAGCAATGAGGATGGCTGGAAACCACACATCACACCACTGCTGACAGCTGCAGCACAGAAACGCACTTATAAACACACAGAACACACACAAACAGATGCAACCTCACAGATACATTCTTGTGCAGACAATGGTCTTTGTAACTCTATGTTCTTCACCCCAACCGTCACCCTGAACAGGAAGAGCCTGAACATACCTGAATATAGCCTTTAAAGCTATAACAGAGCACAGTCTACATTACAGAGGATGCCAGGTCACTGCCTTGAAATCACTTTGAAAAATGACGGCGGCCATTTTGGCCCGAGCACCATGGTATGCATGCAATAAAAATCACAGCACTACCTCTACTATATCTTGGAGGTCTTTCACCACGTTAGCTTCATGACGGCGGTCAGAATAAATATTTGATTTAATTAATTTGAGTCACGAATCAGCACTTAATTATTTCTACTAAGATATTGTCGAGGAAAGGGGAATGAAAAAAGGTTTTAATTAATTTTACTCATATATATTTGTTCTACCTCAGATTTGTTGAGTGATCCACTGTTTGGCATCAAGTGTTTGTTTTGACCATAACGAAAAGTTTAAAATCACAATTAACCATCTGGATTCTTCAACTTCTACTCAGGAGCAAAAAATTGCCTTTAAAATAAGAATAATGATTTGGCATTATTTATTATTATCCTGATAAATATATATATAATAGACTGATCTATGTATCTACTGACGTTATTGTGATAACATTTTTGGCCATATCTATTTCAAATGGGTGGCATGTTGGTAAGCAAGCCGATCTTTTACCCAAACTTTCCTGATTTAAACCCAATGCCTGATTCCCAACCAGTCCCAAAGGCCCTCCGCTATCTGGCAGGTGACCCCTGACTGCATGACAGGGCTCAACTAAACATGATGTGGTTCCAAACTGGGACACATCTTTCTATGACCGGAAGTATCTCCAGATGTAAAGTCTCTCAGCAGTCTACAGCCACGTAAATGAGATCTGCACTATTTATATCCCCATATTTTCCAGAATGTGCGGTTCACAAAACTTTCAGACATGAAAACAAATTTTACACAAAATATGCTTTAAATATAAAAAGCAGAAGGCAACGTTAGCTTTCACAAAACTAGACCCTCAAAAACAAATATTAAGTTGAATCAGCACCTTTAACTGACTTACCAAAAATCAAACCATTTAACCATTAAACACAGGCTATTGTTCTGTATTGTATTATCAGATGTTACAGTTACAGGTTACACTCCAGAGTAAACTGCAATAAGACATATTGGACGAGGACCGTGCATTTAAAATACAAACAAAAGTGAAATTTAGAATATTTAAACATTTAAATATATAAAGAGGGAAATTCCTTAACTGATAGTTTCAGTTGTAATTGTTGTTGTAGGACAGTTAAAGATTTGGACTACGTAAAATGTGGTCTACTAATAACATTCAACATCATTACCAGGTAACTGTTTGTTTTAAGGCAACTGAGAGCACAAGAAGCTAAAATACATGTTTAAAACATGTCAATATGCTAACATGTTTTGTGTATTTGCCTTAAAGTAGAACAAATTCTTTCATAAATTGCATGTTTTGTTCAAAACTGTTAAATTGATGAAAAATGTAAATTGCTTGTAGTTATCCAAGTCTGTACTTTTGAAGGAAAAAACTGCATATACATTATGACGCCCCACTGCTGCAAACTCAGGAAGGACAACATACCGTGGGCCGCATACAGTATATGTATGATGACTTTTAAGATCTACTTGACTGTAAAACACTGAAGCTGGAAGAGGAAGAGTTGCACACTGTGACCATGTGACAGGAAGCACAAGCCAAAACAGAACGACATTCAAGACCAATAAGTTGTTCTTGACTGTTCAACAACAGATGGGGTTTCAAACCAAACCATTCTCCAAAACCAGTGATGGTGCTGTGTAACCTAACTGAAGCTTGTATTTTAGAAAAAACCCAACTGTATGTCTATAGAGACCACATGTTAGGGTTATTATAGCACATCTGTCTGTGACAGTGGGGTTAACTGAAGTCAAAATATTGAGAGAAAGTCAGCCTTTTCCATGTGCAACACCTCCCCAAAGCCAAGCTGAGCTGCAAAAAAATAAATGCATCACATCTTTTGGGCCAGATATTACACCAACAGAGGGAATCTATGTGCAAAGCAACTCAGTGGTGCTCTGAGGGGAAAAAATAGCCTGGTCTAGACTCTAGTTCAGACTGCAATGCAGAGTTATGAGCCAGCCTGCATTCACGTGGATGAGAAGGAAACAAGGGTCCAGTATTAATGAGCTCTGACATGCAACCATGCTCCCAACGTCAACACCAGGTGGACAGAGGGGTGGGCTGGGCTGGGGTGATACTGCCTCCAGTGCAACAAAACACTCAGCAGACAAGCAGTTAAAAATCAACGGGCTGCACCAGACCAGCCCCGGCCACATCATCACCTTACATAGGTGCCCCTCTACCTATCCAGCATCAGTTTACGCATGAAACTAAGTTGACATCATTTTTCCAGCACCTCACGAGGAGGAGACGTGCAGCTGTTTGCGCCAGTTGCGCAGATAACAACCGACTAATAACATATTCAAATCAAACGCCTGAGATTATTATATAAGGCTTATGTCACTGAGAAGTGATGCGTAATGCGCAGCCACCAGAACATCCCCCAAGCCAGCTGATGGGCTAAAATGCAGTCCATTCCGGTTACCTGGCAGCTGACTGCAAAACTAACCCCGGACTATTCTGAGCCCTAACACAGCTGATGAGCTCTCCTCTGAAATGTTTAAAAAAAAAAAAATCAGCACAGAAGGACCCGCCTGCACCAAGCTTTCAGGGGTCGCTAAAGTCCCCCTGTCCGTGCCCTTGATTATTAACACCGGCTAGAAGCTCCTTGACGAGGTCCACGACAGCACCAAATCCGGTCCAGGGACCCGGTTACCGCGGCGACTATCACTCGACCTGATCTTTGATCCTTTTTCCTCCCCAGCAGCAATATTTAACAAACTTGGCTAAGGAGAGCAGGTCCAAAACTTCACAACAAGAACAATAAACAGAACCAGCACTACTACCTGAGCTGCGCAACTCTTCCATAAATAACCCAGGTAAATGAAGGGGGGGTAGGCTGGCTTCAAGTTGGGATCTAGAAGAAACGTGGTTCAGGGTGTTCCGTTCCGTTCCCACCCCTGCCCTTCCTGGCGCAAACAGCCATTGGATTAGCGGCGGATCGAGGGGAGGAGAGCAGACAAGGACTGCGCCATTGTTAGAATACCACTAAAATGATCACTTATGAACTTATTCGCATCCAATAAATTAAAATGTGACCACATGACGCACGGGATACACAATGTGACACTCAAAAAACACACAATCCCTAACGACTGGCAACGTGTGGGTTTACTACACAACCCCCTTCTCCTCGTGTGTATTTTTTCAAGCCGTGCACATGCCTGCGCCACCAAAACAGACCCGGAATCCGAATAAAAAGCCCGATTTTTATGATACCTGTGACGCTGGGGGTTTTAATTGGAAAGTTACCCTGCACGGAGTCCACCCTGGCGCAATCAGTGGCAAGTATACCCGGCCACCGCAAGGGGCGCCCTAGCGTTACGTATCACATGAACTGTCTTCATTTGTGTCATGCGGTGGTAAACAACGAGGCTCAAAGGCAAACCCGCATCGAGTTTACGTGGGTCTCCCGGGAATTACCGCGACACAAAACCAGCTATAAACCCATTATTTTCACAACCACATAGAATTTGCCCCCCCCCCCCCCTTTCCCTCCCCCCCAGCGGAAAACAGCACTGCCTGCCGTCCGCCATTAGGGAGCCAACTGAACAATACTGTAGACTAGAGGCGGCAGCAGCCACAGCACGCACGGAGCAGGGGAGAAAATCTGTTAAAATTAACTGTTTATTGTTAACTAAATGTGTCTTCTCGCCCCGGCGTGAGTCCCGGGAGAGTCCCCGGACATCCGCTTGACAGCCCGCACAAGTTCCCAAAACTTTGACCAATTAGGCGTAAAACTGGAATATAAAAACCGTCAGTTAAATTCGCTTACCGGAGTAGAGCTCGCAACGGTGTAGCGCCACTTTTGTGCCTTGACATTAATCCCGGGGAGCGCCTGCGCACAACGTACAACTTTCCACTTTCCGTCCAAGATCGTCTATTGAGCAGAGGATTCACTCCGTGCACATGGCGTTTCGCCTGACGAACGTGACACGCCTGGTGAGGGCATTTACCTTTATGTGTCCATCATATTGAGAATATATTGATTGATTGCTCTAGCTGCATTACATAGACACATCTGAGTCATTTTAGTTTTGGTATTAGCTAACCATCTGGTCAGCTCACTATAATCTCAAATTACCTTCCTTTTTTTTTGGCACAACAGCAGCCATTTTGAACGTTCAGGATGAGAGACTGAGCAATCATAGTGTGTTGTTATAGGCCTATTATAATAACCTTTATTTAAACAAAAGAGTCCCATTGAGATTAAGAATCTCTTTTGCAAGGCATATATAAAAAACACATTGGTACAGACAGATAATGCGGAAGAATAGTGAGCTCACATTTCATCAGTCATTTTGAGTCATTTTCACAATTTAAAAACATTTACATATTATAGAGTCTTCCTTTAATTTTTTAATTTTGGATTTAAAAGCATTTAATGAGATTAATTCATTGAGTTTCATGTCATTTTGCAACATATTCCATGCTGTGAGTGCAGAATACACAAATTCCCTTTTTCTAGTTTCCGTACAGGTAATTGGCACAGAGAGCACTGAGAAGTCTTGAGAATACAGAGAGTGTTGCCCATTACTTATCTGCGTGATGTAGGTTTATAGACTATTTATTGATTAGGATAAATGGCAGGCAAATATAACCATTATGCCGTGGTTCCTAGTCTGGGGGTTGTTGGAGACCAATCTGATGGGACGAGAGATGGAGATATAAAAGAGAGGAAAGCAGAAAAAAACTATTTCTGCAACCCAAAATTAGGCTTATTTTCTCAGACTGATCTTTGTTTTTTCCAGCGGACCATTTTTCCTATTCGGGACTCTAAAAATTGTTCAAATGCAGCAACAAAATACTATATGTTTGTAGCTGTCACAGGCATAGCACAAAATTCTGGCTGTAAGCATTCTCTATGGGGACCTTCCCGCATCTACGGCTATTCATTCTAGTATCTTTGTGGTCCCCCCTCAATGGAGGGCCTTGTATACTTGTCCTCTTTTTCTCCCAGTCCAGATGCTCCTGCTAGTTGTGCCAGTAGATGTGTAGTGAAGAGGGGTCACAAGTAGACATTGCTTTGTTTTAAGCCCAAAAAAGTTTAGGAACTACTTTTGTGAATCAAAATGATCTTTAGCTCTTAGCAGGCATAGCCTATTTACATAGTTTGGGGTTTTAAAGCTGCATTCAAATTTAACTTGTGTGATGTTGAGTACAATATGTGCTTGTGAGTAGCTGATAGAAATGGTTTCCATAAACCTTCCTTGATCCTTTTTTTTAATGGCAAACAATTTGGTTTGTTTTCTGCATTTTACACCATGCAGAAGAACACAAACCATATAGGCTCTAGTAGAAGATTGTTGACGTGTAACTGCAAAATCTTTATGGGTATGTATCCATAATGCTTTTAATATTTTGTATGCTTATTCAAAGTGTGCTGTAGTGATTCTGATTTTGTAGGCTAATGTATTTTTTGGGCCAGGCAGCGGTTGAGTCCAATAATATTAAAATCAAACGACTCCATCTCAGTGAAAGTAAAGTCTCTTCAGTTATTTTCATTGTGATGTAATGTTGTGCAGACTTTCCAAACTGCATCACCACATATCCTAACAATATTAGAACTTTGTTGTTGGATTTCAAGTTTTTAAAAGTCTAAATTGTTCTTTCCACAAAACAGAAATGAAACCAATGGCTGCCTGTAAAGACAGATATAAGTAGATCTACATTAAACATCTGAAATGATATGAATTGAAAATGGGTTTCAGTAGGCTAATAGATAAATATAGCAATAGCTAAAACCTCCCAAAACACTGGTATGGTCCTTTAAAGTCCGACGTCCCTGTCACACGTTTATTGAACCCGGAAGTAGGACAGAGTGCGACCTCTTTCATTTATTATCCTCTCTGAAGGCATCCATTCGTATTTCTCAATTTTTTTTCGCCGCGCAAGCGCAAGAGGAGCAATCAGGGGTTGCTTGGTTGGCAATTAAATTGCTCCATTAATCTGATTTAACCTTACCGATACAAATGATATCTCCCGTGTAAACTGACCCAAGTTCAGCTGGCAAATGATACACGTTGACCACGAAAGGCTTTTGTCGAAGCGCTAAAATAAGCTGCACTGAAGTAGGCACAGTTCGGGTCCAATCAGGAGAAAGGATCCGGGTTGAGAGAGTTCATGTTCTCTCATGTATCTGTCGGTGCAACATCGGGTTTCCCAACAGTAATTTCATCCAGATATGCAGCACAAACCAAACGGCCCAGGATAATAATCCCATATGAGTGTTACAAAAGCAACATATGCCTATAAGATAGGTAGGATGGTTGATGTCAAAGGAGCTAAAAATACATGTAAGTGCGATAAGATCACTGTAAACTCACTGCTGAGTACAAGAGGCCAATTATGAGTCACAAGAACAAATATCAAAAGGGTGATGTTTTGCATCCGGCAGGCAAAAAGTCGAATGAACTGATCATCACGTTTTTTAATATGGCGGATCAGGTGCGTTCAAAGTGTCCTGGTGATCAACACCACTGAAACGTGCAGTTCAGATTTACGTTTGGCGGTGCAGATAAATTATTTCCATCCCTACAGCCCAACACATAATCCGTCTGTAGGCTGAACTCACCACATGCGTGGAGGACAGGACGGATTTTATTTCTAAATCAGTCTGATAAAGTGAACAGTCGGGTTGCCAGATCCTCTCTGTCAGTTGCTAAGCAAAATGTCGGGAGATTTCCATGTGTTCCGGCACGTGCAAATTCTAGGCTACTGACATATTAAAATGTGACCCTGGACCCAGATTTAGGAACAAACGCAGACTGATACTTTAGGAGTAGCCCGAGATATATGCTGATATCATTTCATTTCCATTTTTCATTTTGGTGTTCAGATGAGTGCAAAACAGCCAATATATATCCATCCATCTGCCTCTTTATTGTAACTTTATACATTAACTTGCTGCTTTTCAATGCATTATCACCCCGATTATGTAACTGATGGAAAATTTGACTTTAACACAGCCACTGTGCATAAAAAGTAGACTTTTGCAGTGGAGGAAAGCACATTTCCTCAAGTTCTCTTGGCGACTTAAAGGCGTATTGTAGTGATTTAGTGGTGCACTTCCATGTAGTTGTGGGAACTCACGAGAGAGATTAATGACAGACTGATCAAAATCAAAGCAGCAGAGGTCTACAATTCCCATAATTCAATATGATAGCATGTTCTGTTAGAGCCACCCTGCCTGGTATAAAATACTGTATATAGACTCCAAGCCGAAATAACCCAGATGACATCATGATGACATCATCAGGGTTATTTTTTGAAACTCCCTCCAGAGCTGCAGAAGACACAAGTGTGCATTATACAAGCCAAGAAGCACTCCTTATGGCGAGTAGGAACGCCAGATCGTTTTATCAAATATAATGTTTTGTTATGGATTAAACCACCAACAGTATAGAAAAAGATGAAATTAGCTCGATCCGTTTCAATATTAAAATCATGATAATAACCCATTATTAGCCTATAATAAGAATTATTTTTGTATCGACAGACGCCCTTCTGCTTGCATAATAAGCACTTTTACTTTTGACACTTTAAGTACATGTTGCTGATAACGCTTGTTTATACAGTCATTGATTCCTCTTTCTCATTTTGTTTTGGCACCATATTTATCTGAGCTGAGTTCAGATAGCATCTGGTTTCTGTTTTCTGGGGGAGCTGAGATGTGTTTAAAAGTCACTTGAGGGTTTATTTATTTTTCTACTTTTTCAGTAGCATTCTTGTAGGTAACTAAACTAAACCAGTTGACAAAACAATCTCACGTTAAGGTCCATTTAGTAACTTTAGTTTTGTTTTCAATCCGATCACATGATATATGTGAGCAGATGGAGTTTGCCCAGGTGTCATAGAATTTGCAGATGTTAAAAATGTCCCATTTGTTTTCAGAGCACTTTAAGGACTTGAGCTGAGCTTCAAAGTTAATTCTTGATCTTGGACGGTTGAATCTCCCCCACACTGTCCAATTAGCAATTGATCTGGATCATATCGCAAGATCAACCACTAGGTAACTTCATCTTCTGGGGAACATCCAGTGGTACAACAAAAGACCAAAAGTAGAAGGACGACAGCCAGACTTGAACCCATAATGTTGCAAGGGACAATGTGTTCTTTTACAACCGGCAGTGGATGCGATTGAGTCCTGTCACTGGATTTCGGTCTGGACTGTTCAGCTCAGTGACACTGTTTAAAGCCACACTTGTGTAGCTTTGGCTTTTTGTTTAGTTGTGCCATTGCAGATGGCAGCAGGACTTCTTCTATCTGTTTTACTGACTGAATTTGACTCTACCTTTACGCACCTTCCAGGGCCTGTTGCAGAGAAGCATCCCTCTCCTCGGTCGTAAAATTTTTACTGCTGAAGTACCCACTGAACTTTGTCAAAGGTCTCTTGGTCTCTCATATGTTTCTCCCTGAGGGAAACATTCTTGTATCCTTCCTCTGAAAGGTACTGTTGTATCCAACCAAATATTATGAATACACAAATCTCAATTCAAAACATTATGTGACTTCTAAATTTGGATTAATTTGTAGAGGTTTGTTTTCACCTAAAGTCTTTTTTACTGTAAAGACATGTTCAATGAAGTAAATAATGCACTACTTTCATGGCATTTCTCTAATAATCTGTCAGACTGTCTTCTCTCATATCTGCTAATTCATCATTTTGAAATAATTAGTACTTGTCACAAATAATTAGGCTATAAATGTTTTTCCTGACTGCTTTTATGAGATCACAGGAAGTTAAATTGTGAGTGAGAAATTAGTTCACGGTCTAGAGAACAAGACAAAGAACGGGGAATACAACTGTTTTACAAGGTGCCTAAAAGATCATCATTTTTTCAGTATTCCTGTAAAGCAGTGGCTGCATCAAACTCAGTGTTTTTATTTGGGCAAATTAAAATCCACATGATCATAATGATGATGGTGGCCTATGGGGTCTTAAGGTGCTGACTGTCTCAACATCCCCACTCCCGAGTCCGGAAATGAACCCCTCACTTCTTGTCAACTCTTGTTCTGTCCTCCACCAAAAGCCAAAAACGTCATGTTTTGAGCACCTATATTAACTTTTCCACTTGATCAAAAGCTTCCCATATATGATGAATGAAATGAAAAGCCAGAGAAAAACCAGTGTGGAAATATATATACACATTTTTATTTAGGACAGAGACACAGCCTCAGGTCTAATCAGTGACTGGCTGCAGCGTCAATGCAAACAACATTGAGATCACGCTTTCTCACACATACAGTACCGTCTACCCGCAGGAACAATCGAGGCCAAATATTTGTCAACACTCTCAAAGGTGTATACGGGAGATTCTAGAGGCAAGACAGAAGGACTGTAGTATCTTCAGGAGTGATGGAGATTGGCAAAGTAGTCAGGGAACAAACAATAATAAATAGAACAGCTGCTTCACATTTATCTCAACTACAAATCCTTTATATTACTACTGACAAGTTTTGAATGCATGCTTGGACGTTTCAGATTCCTTCATAGATTTTTCCTTCCTTCCAGGTAGCCACAGACTTCTAGTTCTTTCCATGCATTGTGAAAATCAATTAACAAACTCTTGAACTTGCTACACACGTGTACTCCATCACAGTCAACGTCAGCTTCAATAATGGGGCTCTCTGTAAAGTTTTCCATTATCAGGGCGGAGTAAAGCACTTTTTGGTCCGGGTTGATTTGAAAAGTCTGTACCATCATAAAAATAAAATGACTTTAAACAAAAATCTATTAAATCTTCACTGTGATGGTTTACTCAAGCAGGTTCCAATAGTCCTATTGTTGATTTTCATTCCAGCAATAAATGGGAACAAATCACTGCGTGGAAAGTAGGAGAAGTACATTAAAAACTATTAAACATGGATCAGTGATTCGCAAAAGGCTTAGTTGTAATTGTAAAATATGCAATAAAGGGGCTAAAACCTGCAACATTGCTGGTAAGGTCTGATCTGGACTAATTTTTGGTTGTTCAAAGTCTAACACTGCCAACACACAATTTCCCCATCTTTTCGATCACACTGATTGGTTCTGATTACAATCCCAGGGAGTCACTTCACTATAGAGCTACCCAGATCTTGCTTGTGTTCAAAAACCTACACCAAAACACAGCCTTTTCCACACACTGATTCCTCACTGTGTGACGAAACACGTAGGGTAAAATAGGAAAATGAAAAATAAGCCAGTTCTGATGTTGCCCTACCACTAAACATTGTGCAGTAAAGTGTACTGCGTTCCTCCGAAGGTGTTGCTGGGTTCTGGAGCATCCATATGCCTTTTAAGAATAAACTGAGTCCAAGAGCTGTGACATCAGGTAAACAAGAGGTGAGCAGCTCTATAGTGAAATGACTGCAAGAATATGGCTGTGAAGTGACAGAAAAATAGGACACAGTAAGAAAAAACACCAACATTTTCTTAGATTTAAAAGGAAGGTTGTTGTGAGAATGAAACTTTAAGGATAAGGCGCTGAAGAGCGATGATTAGGTTTTCAAACAGCACTAGATACAGGCGTCCATTTTGTCTCTGCTTGCTAAACCTAGTCTGGCTCTTTTAACATTTTGTATCTCGTCACTGAGACAAAATAACAAGCAAATCATTGAAATCTATGGATTAAAAGCAATAACAAGTCAGATTTACACATGTGCTAAAATGTTTGTTATGTTTTTTTTTTTTAAATAGTTCAACTGGGTATATTCCTCCTTCACTTTTTATGTGAATGAGAAACAAAAAACTAAGTGAAAACAGTGGATGTTAAGGCAGCATGGAGGGGACCCCATCAATTTGCAGTTTCTGACAGCAGCAGTGATTCATTTAACACTGCAAATGAACAAAAATGCTAAACACATTTCACCAGCACTGTTAAAGGACATATTGCTGCCCTGAGTCAAGTTCATAGGCAATATCACAGCTAAAATCTAGGCGTGTTCTCACTACATTTGCGTTTTGTGTTTCTGCCTTGCTGTAGAGGGGCCACTTTTAAAATCAACTACACTTTTAAAATCCAAAAAGATTGTCAGAGGAGAGCGAAGGGGAGCGTTGAGTGAGTTCTGATGGGCAGTCCTGCCCTGACGGGCTCGGTAGAGTGTGTGTGTGAAAATGAATTCTGCAGCGATCAGTAGGCGACTTACAGGCATTTCGATTTAAAAACCCCTAAACATTACTAGCAGGGTGGTTGATATAAGGTGAGTCATTTTAGCCCTTAAAAGTAAAATAACATCAGAGATTTTTACTGTACACGCTAAATAACTTAACCCACTGCTACAGTGGCAAAAAAAGCAACAAAATATTAGCAGTCATTGGAAAACACATTTTAACTGTATATTTGTATGTATATTTATATATAGTATGTGAATATGTACAGACCAGAAAATATAAACAGCAACTGTGCATGGAAGGCAAAAGGAACTTTTCTTCATTCACTCATGTTCTTACACACCTTACTTTGCAATCACCTCATTCTGCTGTATTAACTTGTGGAAAAGTGTATTAACTGGGTTTGTGACACACAATCTAAATCTCCTTTTGGGTGTAGAATTTTACACAAAAACAGTTTCCCATTTGTTGTCAACTGATCAGTGCCAGATGGGATATTCAAAACACATCATAGCTTTAGGAAAGTGTTCACAAGTTGTGACTGACTTTTCCACCATTATAAGAATACTGATACACAGGTTAATACAGTGAAATAAGTCAATTATAAAGTAATGTGGGAAAGCATTAGGTTGGTCCAAGAGAAATGCTAAAAATAGAGAAAAACAGTGATGGAAAACTCCCTCCTTATGTTCTTCAAATGCACCCAAATCACTGTCAATCTACGCACAAGCTAGGTTTACAAATAACACACACGTCTATCGTATCCACGCTGACAGAAGGTGGAACTCGGGAGAAAGGCACGACCCAGGAAGGTTTTAGTATTGAAAGTTATTCCATTGAGAGAGGAGGGAGTTTTTGACTGCCTCCTTTTACCTGGAAGCTGTGTATCATGATGGTATCATCAATGAATGGATGAGCTGATTGAGGGTTTCTCAAGGTTTAATAGACCTTGAGAGATCCCCTGATTCATCCTGCGCATATGTAGGCCAACGCAGAATAGTGATCTGGACAGGATTTAGATAACAATGAGCTTCAGTCTTTCAGTTTCACTTCACCGTGAAAGTATGTGTATGTGTGGTGTGTGTTTTGCTGTGTTGGCCAGGCTTGGTGTGATCTTTGACATAATCATAGGGGGCATCACGGCAGCTGGACCCTGTATGCACAGATGAGGAGCTTGACCTGAGGAAAGAAGAACATCAGAGAAAAAAAGAAACTGAATGATCCACAACTGCTTAATTACAATAATAGTTTGACTATTTAGCCACATATACTGACTGAGGCAACAAAATAGTCTTTCAAATGTTATCAAACACTTGCTGTCTGGGAGAAAAATGAAGGTGTTACATTTTGCGTTTGGAATAAATGTAAGAAAAATTGGAGAGCTAAAGAGTGAGGCCGCTTTTATTCTACATTTGTCTTATTGTCAGCAAATCCCATGGAAAGACCAAAACCAACAAAGAACTGATCCTACTAACAAGTGTTGTCTGTGTATCCACAGCCTGATATATTGTATTCCTCTGTGCTATAGAGCATTGTTGTTTTGAATAATTTTGTTGTCCAAAAACCTTTCAAAACACATCAATGAGCCTCACCGTTGCTCTGGGTGACATGAACCTCATTACCATGAACAAACACACACACACACACACACACACACACACACACACACACACACACACTGTAGTTTGTATTTTGATTCAATCACACATAAACCGTCCTGCTGCTGTATGTGCCAAATGGACTTTACTCCTGTTTGAGTCATATTTGCTAGAAGCTACAGTGCCCAGTTGTGAGTCTTCTTTAAAAATTAAACTATATTTGTAACCTGTTTTTTTCAAGATTTATGTCTTCCTGGAAGGAATGGGCGAGGCACCACAGAGTAGAGAAGTTGGAAGTGAGTAGAACATAACTGCATACAACAATGACTTAATCACTTTGTTTGATTTATTGACTGAAAACACATTATTGCAGGCACAAATAGGCTAAGAATCAAGATTCCGAGTACATTTCAGTCCAGATGAACTGTTGTTTCTGCTGCTTGTTTTTCCCCTTTCAGGACATCTCTTTATCATTGAGAAGCTGCTGTGAAACTGTGGCTCCTGAATAATATTTGCAACAGAACATGAGCTCAGAGGGCGAAGACAGAGTTACATGATTCTGGATGCTCGTCAACATAAACTCTGACCGCAACTTGCAAGCTATGTTATTTGTGGTGGCAAGCTATCCTTAAAGTGATGGTCCAGCCAAAAACTGAAGACATTTTGAGTTTGAGACAGGGATACTGTAAGTTCTTATCAAAACATCGACAAACCAAATCTCAAAGAAGATCTGTAGCATAATTTGTTTCTCCACTGTCCATCTGTATTCTCAGCATGATCCACTATCCACTTTTTATTACACTACACTTATATTTTCACTAAAGTTGGCTACGTACACCACTTCTGTCTGTCCTCGCAGCATGTCTCCTGCCCTCATTGGTCAAGGGTGCTACTCTATCCTAGCTCAGTCATTTGGACACTTCTCTCTAGAATTTGAATTTGTCTAAAGTACACAGTTTCTTCAAGTGCAACTTTCAAGAGCACATCAAAATACTGACATTAACATTATCACACAACTAAACCTGTTATACTTCATTTAAATGGCTAAAAATGACAATTCTCTTTTCCGGAAACTGGCAGCAGAAATGTTTACTTGTATGTGTGTATGTCTGCGTTTGTATGTTGTGTGTATGTTTTGTCACCTTGGCTGTTGGTGCCTCTGCTAGACGAATGAAGAGTCTGTTGATGCCAGGAACTGGGCTGAAGGAGTAGATGAAGTGACTATCCTGAACGTTTGAAGACAAAAAGGAATAAATTAGAAAACATAAGTATATTGCCATTTAATATAATACAATTAATCAAATAAATTAAATAACACTGAAGTACATGCGTCCCATGGGGGAACAATGAAAGCTACGACATTAAGGTAATTATTTACCCATTTTTATTATTTTACCCATTTGTATTTTACCAACCATTTATTCTAATAAACCACTCCGTTATAAGTGCTGTGTAACTGAACAGTGCTGTGCGCAGTTTTTGTTAAGAACCAACCAAGAAGATGGGCAGCTGGAACTTGTCATTGAGCACCACGGCGTGAACGCTGCAGGGTCCACAGAGCCTGGCTGTGATTTCACTCAGGAAGTTAGCATGGAAGATGAAGAGGAGGATGCCTGAGCCTGGAACGGGAGGGAGGGACAGAGATAAGAAGGAAGGATCAAGAGGTAGAGAATCTTAAAAGTTTCCCACAATGTTGTTTGCATATCAAGGGTCCCAAACCCTGAGGCTGAGAAACTTGAATGAATCAGTGACAATGTGATCAGTTCAACAACAGAAAAACAAACCACATCTCTTATGTTTTGTGATATAAGTTGTGTTTTCACTAATTTGAATGTTTGTGTTTTACCCTCTGGTTGTGGCTGTGATTTAAAGCCAAACTCCATGGAGAAGTCCGGTCCCTCACAAAGCCTGTGGCAGGCAAGAGGGAAGACAGGCTCCAGCAGCACCAGGCGAGACTCAAAGTATGCTCGAATGGTGTCATCCGCCACACTGGACAGCCTGAGAAATGGAGAGATGGGCAGAGGATGAGCCGAGAGGTACAGGATGGATAAATGGACAACACCACAAATTCACACCCAAATGCAGGAATTTGATTTTTAAACCAGTGTGTAACGAATTTTACCTGATTTAAGTTAAGATTTTTCAGACACACCACACTATGGCATCAATGAAGTATTTTAACTTTTGTCTCTCCGCCAACACACATTGTTTCTCAAATCCAGCTGCAGCCTTCACCCGTTCCCCATTATCAGTGTTGAGACTGTGGCTGGCACTCACATGCTGATGTGGTCCTTAATGAGGTCGCACACCATCAGGTTGTTGCTGAGCTTGGCGAAGTGCATGGCCGTTGTCTTGTGTTTGGACAGGATGTTGCAGTCAGCTCCATATTCCAGCAGGAGGCGCACTACGTCAGTGTTACCTCTTCTGCACGCCTGAAGGGAAGGACAGGAAACATTCACCAAAACAACCTCTGGATAAGACGCCTTTAGGTACATTAAATGTTATTTCTTTTTATCACTGCCTGTGTCTTCACATTTTTTATCCCCCTAACACTTTTCAGACGATGCAGTGACCTTCACGTTTGTCATTGGTCTGAATGGTAAAAGCATCATCCAACCTGGTTTTGTGACACATTTGTGACACCACTTGGTTTAGGCCTGAAATGGTAAGTTTCTATTGAGGCTGTGTGATGGACGTAAACAAATAAAAGAATGTAAAATAAAATAAAAAATGTTTACATTCAGTGTTACTCACAGTGTGAATATCCTTGAGGCTTAACAAATGTGATGAAATGCATTTCCTTCGTCCTAAAACACTTGCAAAGGCGTTTTTTCTTAAAAGCTCTGTCAGAGCAGGAATGTGTATTGTGTCACCTGCAATTCCAACAAATCTAACAAAAATTATTCTGAAATAAATTGCCTATCCCAGCTTTAAAGAACAATTTGACATATTGGGAAATATGTTTGACAACTCTGCATATGATGCAATTTCATTTCACGGTTTTACAGAGCTGTGTATGGAACTGCAGTTGAAGGACCAGGTCTTGTGTGACAAGATATTAACCTGTCACAGGACCTGTATTTTTCAAACTTGTGTGAAACACAGAGGTTTGTGTGCGAAATGTGGCATTACCTTCATCAGGGCCGTCTCCCCGCTAAGTGTCTGAGCGTTGACATAGGAGCCCGCCTCCAGCAGGATAGCAACAGTTGTCAAGAAATTCTGACAGAGGATGGAAATAAAAATAAAGGTGTGACAAAAATGCACAAAAATGGTAACTGTCTACAGTTCAGTCTGAAACTGGGGTATGATGGCGCTACATATTTAAATAAAGTATATAACTAACACACTGAGTATATTTGGGAAAACTGCATGAGAAAATAAAGTTAAACCTTATTTTGAAATTGAAGACAAGTATTATGGTGCACCACCAGGGTTTTATATTATAAAATTAAACTTTTTTACTTTCTGGCCACTTTTGGGCAGTGCAACAAGTTTAGTTTAGTTTATTACATTTATTTTTCAGAGACCCCAACAACGTTAATCTCACATAAGGCGAAAAGATGCATTTTACCAGATTTTGCTACTAGCAAATTCCCATCTGCAGTCCCTGGGCAGGTCAACACAAACCCTAATTCGACTAATGCAATTAATATAAATGTAACTTCAAAATACATTAAATATTGAAATCAGTCATAGATCTAAATATACAAACAAATATCAGGCATTACACCCTACACTATATATATATATATATATATATATAGACAAGACTGGTTTCTTAAGATCCATTTTTTGATGGGAAAAATATGGAAATCTATACATGTTTTTAAACTGTCAGGGAGCTTGTTCTATTCCTTAAAAGAAAAGGCAGAGCTTCAGCGGACAAGCTGTGTTTACAGATTTTATGGCTAACATGTTAGCAAACTGCAGGTTATTTAAACATTGTGAAGACATAGGGCAACATCAGCATTTCTTTGAGTCGTGTTTCTGGTCACCTGTTGAATTTAAATCCAATATTTACTTTCCTCGTGACTGTTTTGTATCCTTTAATTCTCAACTCCATTATAAACTAAATACAGTGAACAAAGTCATAGAAAAAGAAAGACTGTGTTACCTTTTCAGCAGCATGCATCAGTGCTGTGGTGCCGTTCTTCTGTCGTCCATTCACCTTCACCCCCTTCTTTATCAGCAACCTGAGGATGTCATCCTGCCCCCCTGCTGCTGCCAGCATGCTCAGGGACATACCACTGACATCCTGTGGACAGAGAAATACAAAACTACCATGTCACAGATGAAGGAGGTAAAATGACTGCTGTGGATTGGGGGAATCCTTAAAACTTAAACCAAATATGTTTTAGTACGTCACATGAATTAATCTGAAATGCAGCAATTCTTTGCATAAAGTAATTTACTTGTGTAAATAAAATGGTGAAACTGCAGACAGGGTTTTAGTCCTCCCTCTCTCTGCCACTGTTCTTTCCAATCAGCTGTGATTGGAATGATTATTTAATTTTATTGTAAATATTCTGCTAAGATTTTCTACATATTTCAATATGGTTGCTGCAGAAATGCACTAAATTTGCCATCCATTCTGTTTTGAATGTGTAAATATGCAGTGTTTTGCAGGCACGGGAGTATGAATGAGAAAATCTTTGAAAATGCATGTTTTCATGTACTGTAGGAGAGGATTACGTCACTCGTCTTCCTTGTCGCTCTTTTACCAGACAATTCACGGCTCCGCGAACCAGACAGAATAGCTTACCCAAGTGTGTCTACTTGAAACGACATACTCATCCTTGAAAACCTAGGTTGCAAAGTGTCAGTCTATCTTCAAAAAATTTGTAAAATTCACCAGTCTACAGAATAAGTCAACCACACGGGGGGGGGGGGGCATGTGTGTGTAGTAGGAAAGAGACCAGCTGTGCCAGTGTTAGTTGTGCGTGCACCTCGCGGGACGTTCGGATCATTTTATCACCATTGATGAAGCACACAAAGAATATTATATTGTTTTTACACAGTACTTGGAACAGATCCACAAGGAACAGCAAGGTGCATGCAATTATCGGGGTGCATGCACAACTCCGCACAAGACCGGTCAATGGTAGACCAGCCGTGCAGAGAGAAAATGGTCAACAATAAGTCTCAGTTTAGCTGTAAATGTACAGGGTAAGTTGCAGTGACTCATGAACAGAGACTGCAGCTCTGCAGCTTCTCAAGATTGAAGCGGAGCTACCGTGTGTAACCCCTTAGTCGGGGACACCCCTAGTAAAAACAAATGCACAATGTTAATTTTTATAACAAAATCTTTCAATTGTAAACCAAAAAGCATTTTATTGTACAAGCAAGAGTTACAAGTTCCTTACAATACTTGTAAGTATTAAACTGAAGGCAACATAATTACAACAGGATGTAGAGTAACACGCACTGTGTGCGTATATAGTAGCAATGAAAGAAAACTATCTACTATACAGGGGAAAATAGCAACTGTAGTGTCTGAATAATCATATACCATTAGTAGACATTGAACATGTTTATTTTCCGAACACAACTGTATCTGGGGTGTAACACTGACTACTGTATATACTGCAATGCAGATATACCCCTTTCACAAAGAAAGCAACAATGTGTGAAAAACCTATTTGCCGTTGGTGTGAATGAGTTAACCAGAGTTATGTGACCTGGGTCTGCAACCCTGCTCAGAGTCAGAATTTTATGCATGTCTGACACCAACAGCTTTGGTACCAAAGGATGAACACTGATTTCTCTACACACGTTCACCACAGCTGCTAATGAGGATAACACAAAATCTTTGTTCGTGACAAATAAAAACAGTGCTATCTGGACCTCTTAATACACTCTGTCCTGTTTGGTCACAAAAACAATTGTGAAAATTACTTAAGATTGAATGTTGTCAAATTTCTTTTTCAGGTGTCCTAATGAAGACATCTACAAAGCTGACTGACCCGACCATACAACAGATGGTCCACACTCCATGTTGAATATCCAGTGCAAAATAAACACTGACCGCAATGACCATTTCTGACATGTGACAACATTGTTAAACCAGGACTACAGTCACAAAGGCAGACCAGCAGTCTGCCATTGGTAAATGCAGGCTGAACATAAACCAATATTATGTTTTAAACCTTCAACAAGATTTGTATGCGACACTGACAAATCTTAAGTTCTGCTTAAGATGAAATGTGTAATTCTTTTGTAATTACTAAACTGCATTTTCAGTTAAAAGGTGATAATACTTGAACAATCTGAATTGAATTAACATTTTTTGCACAACAAAGGCAAAAAAAACATACCATTCCTTCTAATACTCAAGATTCCATCAATGAATGCCATTCCCTTTATATTCAAAAATGCAAATGAATATCATTTTCATTTGGTTTGGTTCATTTTCTAAAAACAGAAAGAAAAGAACAAATCAAATCCTGAAGTGTGGGTTTACTGGCCAAGGTGGTTAGCTGTGATTAACAGTTCACCAAATGCATCAGGATCATACTTAGTGTTTTAGAAGCAATCATCATGAATTGGAAAAAAATGCAATGAAGCAAATAATCGGCATAAGGCGGCAATGTGATCTTGGCAACTGGATATTAATGTTACAAACATCCAGATAATAAAAGCTTAAAACAAAGTAATACAAATGAGACCAACGCAGTGTTTTTGCATCAAATTAGAGTACATCAAATACGATAAAGTACTAAAATAATCTACACAGTTACTGTATAGTGATACAAAAATACAACGAAAACCTTTGTGAGCTTATTAATACACATGGAAAAAAAATTAAACATTTATCAACAAGATCCTAAAAGAAAAAAAAGTTTTTAATATTAAAGTGAGAGGTATACACACAAGCTCCTAGTTCTCTAACATCAGCAAGGACGGTATGCCATTACTGCTGCAGGCTATCAGGGGCCATCTACAATATAGGCTACTGGCTAAAGCAAGAATATCTTACACTTGGGGCAGACATTTGGGAATTATGTAAAGCAAGTCAATGCATATCTATCATTTTGGAGGGACTGGCTGCAAAGGTTTGCTGGTAGGTTTTCTATTTCTTTCTTTCTATTCAAAACTCATAAAAATGCTACTGAAAACAGTACAGGCAGAAAGATAGATGTCCAAGAAGGTTTTAAAGAAGAGTAAAAATCCCTCTTGAAATGTACAGTCTCTGAGGCTACCTTTGCTCAGTGCAGGATGGCAAATGCCCTGGTCATGATGGCTGGGGAGTCCCAAACAATTCAGCCATTGCTTTCACTATTTTCACAAATATTGTGATTGAAATTGTGAAAGTGTGTTTGGGTGCCACAGTGGCTACTTGCCACAGACCCATGACTGGTGGCAAGTTGCAAATCCTGGGAAAATGAGGTTCACATTTACTAAATGATCACACATCTAACACTTTCTAGAGATAACCTGTGATGATTTGACAAATTGACAGTATTACATATTTGACTGTGTTACATACTTCTATACAGTCTAACCATATTAAACATGGTCTGCTTTTTCTGAGCCAAAGCTACAGTACAAACATCCTTAATTCCACCTATTTAGTGTATATTCATGCAACCGCATACCAATAGCTTGTTCCACCAAACTTGACTCTGAATACTTCACAAACCTTTTAGAAAGTGTAACTAAAAGAATGGCAGGGCAGTCTGTAATCATTGTCTACATCTGCATGTCTACTGAGACCAGGGTTCAAACAGTACATTTCACAACAAAACACATCTGCTGAATTCTTAACCTCCATTTAATTTGAGGTTTAAGCCACAGCATCACAAACTTCTAAAATCTCACTGATCACTTATTGTTTTCTATCAAGTCTTTTGCAAATATTCACAGGGACAGATAAACGGGACCATCCCACTCTGTGTTTGGACTGTGGGTCTCTGGTTCATGTCCTCCACTTTGTTTGGAGGCTACTATATGCCCTCTTCTTTTCATTGACTGAATTGAGTTATGTACATAATATTTGACTTCCCTCCATGTTCTGCTGTTCAAGGCAGGTTCAGCAGCTAAACATGCATCACAATCCTTTTTGCCTGGAACTTTCACTAGTTTCCCGAAGTCTCCAAGCTGACGCCTAACCGCTGCCTGTTCCTCCTCACTCCACAACCTCTTGTTTCTCTTTTGAGGCTTGACAGCGGGAGTGCCTCGTTTTCCTGCAGTGGACACAGATGTACTTTCCTGTACAACTGATGTTCTGTCAGGAACACTTGGTCTATGGATTGTTGGGACAACCTGTGCAGTTGTAGGAGCCCTAGGTGGTGGGCTTGTGGGGTAAGCTGCTGTACTTGAGTGGTTCAGAGGTGTGAATGAAGAAATGATCGGCCTACTTCTGTCATTTAGTGGTGAGAATGCAGGCATCATTGATGCACTTGCAGTAGTCAATGGCGTGAAAGTAGGAACCATTGAGGTGCTTGGAGCAGTAAGAGTGCTAAAATTGGGAATCATAAGTGAATTTGTAGTGTCCTGTGGTGTATACACAGAGGACATATTTGTAGCGTTCTGTGTATAAGAAGGAGACATTGGCATTAGTATGTTGTTCTCTGATGTGTATACAGGAGGCATTAATGCATTTGTAGTGTTGTGTGGAGTAAATGTGGGAACTACTTGTGTATCAGTAGCATTCAATGCCGTGAAAGTAGAAATCAATGGTTGACTCATATGCATCATATTTGTACTAGTAGAACACAAGGATGCATAACTTGAAGTCATCTCTTGTGGGAATGGTGTTGATTCTCTCAAGTTGGTTAGTGGAGCCATTGTCATACAACAATTTGAACTTTCAGTTAGGAGATCAGGTTGCACTGTTGTCATAGTACAGATAACATTTGCATCTTCTAAATCTTTCTTTGTGGTTTGGACTCCGGATTTTGGACTCTCATTTCTATTCCCTTCAGACTTTTGCTGGTTATTTCTCCTCCGTATTGTCTGTAGTGTGTTGTGTACATAGTTTTTGACATCTGTCCAAGATCTTCCACCAAGATCTGGTTCAGCAGCTATGCAAGCATTGCACTCCTTTTTGCCTGGAACCTTCATCCCAGTGATAAATTCACTCAGGTAACGCTTCACTGCAGCCTGCTCCCTCTCACTCCAAGGCCTTCTCTTTAAAGCAGGCTTCTGTACAGTTCCTAAAAAGAGAGTAGAGAAGCATGATTATATAAAAAGAAATATAATTTTCGTTCAAATAAGAATGCTGTAATCTTTCTTCTTTAAAATGATACAACAATGTTAACTTTATCGAAGGTAGGTTAAAATCAAAAGCAACTGGACTTCCCATCCCTTCCCAGGAGATTCAACAGCTTTCACATTTGGCCTCAGGTGAATCCAATGACCATAACAACTGTCGTTAAAATAGCCAGCGAACCAAGTGGTATCCATCACTTTTGATAACGACCCCATGGAGGTTAAATAGGTGGGATTCCCTGCCATAAGAAATGAAAAAGCCTCTTGGATGAGAGGCGAAATGTCTTCAAATATCTTCAACCAAGTCCACTTGCCCCTTGATTTTAAGCCACCTTGCATAACTATAGCCTGGATGATTGAAAATCTTCAAAGACAATGTAAACTGTAGAGCTCAACAGTTTATCCTAACCTTAAAGCAAGAATGTATTTTGTCAGCTGATATTTTAAAAGCTCCAGAAGAAACAAGTAAGTGGACCTTGAGTAGAGACCATTTTGTCTGCTGTTTAAAAGGTCAAGAATGACCTATGAAGTCCTAAACGGGTTCAGACAAATGGGAAGTTTGACCATCTACTGTTACATGACAACTGAGAAAACTTAGGCTGTGTTCGAAACGGGTAAAAATGCTATCTCAGAAGGTGTCTAACAGGACAGCGAGGCATTAAGTGCTGTTCGAAACAGACCGAACAATCTTTTCCTGTCTTGTAAGATGCCTTCAAACTGCCCCCATGACAGCCAGTTTTGAAGGCAGCATCGAAGCTGACTCTATGCTCAAGATTACCCATAAACCAGTGCAGCTGCTTTTTGATAGCTAGCCAGCTAATGCTAAGGCTAGTGACAGCCAGAAGAGATGCAAAATGGCGTGTTGCCCTAGAGGGCTGAAACCAATGTTCATAGACATGCCTTCACTCCAAAGTCATGCCTTCTGAGGCACTTGTCTATTACAGAAGCAAGGCAACTGCCTTCTGTTTCGAACACAGCATTAATCTGCCAATGAAGACTGTGACACAGCGGAAAGTTCCAGAACAAGCAAAAAAGTGAACTTAGAGTGTAAATTGTTTTGTCAAATATTGATTATACTTTAAGAGCACTGGCTATCTGCCATCCAACCTTTGGGATGAATGAACACATTAATGCAAAAGAATCCAAAGGAGCAAAAGGTGCTCACCATCTCTTGCAGTGGTTGGTGGACTTGATGGCAGTGTTCGATCCATCTTGAGAAGTTGTTTGCTCACTTCCTCCAGTTGTAATGCATTTTTTGAGAGACTGTAACATTCCTGGCTGCTCCTTCCCACTAACTGGGCCACTTGATCCAATTCACGTTCACTGAGGCTCATTAGTTGCCAGCAGCTGGCAATTTGCTCTCTTAATGACGAAGACAGAAGTGCTTCTGGGTTTTTAACTCCACATTCCATTGCAGCCCTTCGGAAACAATCCAATCCTCTGATGAAGGATGGACCTTCAGTCCGTGCAAACAGGTATGGGTTAGTTTTTGACACACCTGCTTGTTCTCGATTTTCAATGAGTAAGTCAATTGACAAAACCATCCTATCTGTTAGCAGAACCAGCATGTTTCTTCCATACTGACCCTCTAGTTCCAACCTGGTGAGGCTCGCACCAAGGTCCAGCTCCAATTTTGTGCTTTTTCTTATTTGATCTGCAGAGGGCACAAATGTTCCCCTACTCTTTTTGACACTGTAAGTTTGCAAGAGCATTCTACCAATATTTCCTACCCGTCCTCTGTTAAACAAACACACATCTGCTAGAGTGGCCTCGCTGAGTTTTTTCCATGTTGACAAACTTGGACTTTCTTTCAGCTCCTTTCTGGCTTCATCTTCTTCCCCTGAGATAAACCTGTGGAGTTTTATTAAATCTTCTGTCACAGTTGATTTGTCTACTTCCACTTTCTTGACCTCTTGCTTTAGAGATAATGCAAGAGCTTTGCGAGAAAAACATTCATTCCATTTTGTATCAAGAAGTTGTATGAACTTTTTCACTTCACTTTCAGTTTCACTGTCCTCTGTCATACGACTTTCCCCAAAAGCTATTTCTGCAGCCCGCTTCAAAGAGTAGCCGATCTTTGAGACAAGGGAAACGGTTTTAAACTTACTGGAACTGGGATCAAAACCACTAACTTTTTTGGCCCCTTCAACAGCTAATTCAAATCTGGATGGTAGACATATTTCATGCAAGTACTTCACACTCTTGTCAAGCTCATTTACAGCAACTACAAATCTACCCAGTTCCCTCATCTTTTGTGCAATATAAGCAAACTGAGACTTGTCATGGTCATACTTAGCAGACAACGCATTGCCGAATTTACAAATAAGTGGGTCAGTTCTGATATGCCTCGAGATGTCATCTTGATGCATGATGTGAATGATTTCCTCGCAGCCTCCAGTTAAGAACTCTGACATTGGAAGGAGCCGAGAGGCAGCACTGTGAACACTTCTTTTTGTCTTTTCAGAGGATTTCTGATCTCCCTTTCTGGCCTTACATGATCGCTCATGTCTCCATAAATCAGTTTTACGATAAAAGGCAAAGCAGTGCTGGCAAGGCAGGAAGTCACGAACAGATATGCTGGGATTTTTCACCTGTTTCTTGGTCACAATTTCCCCCTCGCCATTTTTGAGAACTTGGCAATTATGTTCATAATCCCCTTTATTGCGAATTTGGTCAAGCAAAGTCTGTCTCACTTTGGAACCTTTGGGAAAATGTATTGCATGGGCAACATCTGTTTCCTCTGCATGTTTCCTTTCCAAATGCTTTGCAAGTTGGGTGAAAGCCATTTTGCAATATAAACAGAAGTGCTTTTTGCATGACTCTTTTTTGTCATCATTTGCTATGCTAGGTTTTATTTCCAGCACTTTCTTACAGGTCCTTAAACTGGATCGTGTTGGTTGTATGCTCTCCACAGTTTTCCTGCGGCGCCGTGATCGCGTTTTAGCAATCTCCTTTGTGCCCGACTCAAACAGAACTTGATCTGTATTATCTGACTGACCCGCCACCTCTGCCTCCTCACTTGAGTCATTTGCTTCCCTGGGGGAACTGTGTTCGTTAGCTATTTGCTTTTGTTCTGTTAGGTCATAGTTTCTTGTAAAAATCCCTTCTGCATTTCTGGTTGGATTTGAATTATCAAAGTTCAATCTCATTTTACTTGATAAACCACCTTTTGTTTTGTCTGACATCTTGTCTTCCTGTGCTTGCGTCTGGTCTTCCTTTCCATGACTTTCCTGCTTGGTAGCTGAATCACAAGCAGTGTTTGTGGATTCAGTTATATCCTTCCCACCTGTTTGGAAATTATCATGTTCCTTTACTCTCATATGCTCCGTGTTTGTACTGGCAGGGCAGCTTGGCATTTTTTCGCCATCTTTTGGACCATCCAAATCTTGTGGGATATTCTCTCTTACTCTTGGAGTACCCTCTTCATTTCTTGCACTTTCAAGGTTAGAAGTCAACCTAAGAGCATCACTCGAACTTCTCTCTTCAATCAAGCTCCTTTCTCCTTCAAATGACCTCGTCTCACCAATAGTACAGGCCTGTAAAAGAACAAGTATATGTAAGACTCATCGCCAAATCAGACCTCATGAATAATTTGACTAAGTGAACTTAAAACACAGACCCATTATTAATAAATGTGTGTGTGTGGGGAGGGGCTTAATTTGGTTTCAGTTTTGGTTGTTAAGTGGTGGTGATAAGTGATTTAGATTTTTTTTTGGTATTGCCTTTTTAAAGTCCTTTGCACATTTCTCAAATGCTGTTTAGCGCATCAGCACCTTGGCAATTCCCCACCAAGATCCAGGCTCATTCAAACAGAAGTCAATGTGATGGCCACACATCACTTTTTAGCCCAACATTGGTTAAAAAAAAACAACAAAAAAACCTGGCACCTCTCAAATCTCCAGTACAAAAACCACATGTGACCCATTCGAGAACAGTTAATGGCTTTATTGGATCAAGCAGCGTTTCGACATTGTAAATGTCTAACCAAGTATATGTAGTCATGGGGTGTTGGATGAAATGCTACATGGAGAGAACAGAATATGCACTGACACTAGACCTACATTCATGGATCTCAATGAAAACACTTACTTTTGAGGTCATATACAAAAAGTTTGGCTTGACATAGCAGTATTTTTACAGAAAAATCTACGAATCTATGTGATTGACACAACATATCTTCAATGTGGCTAAAAAACACAGAGTCTAGGACCACACTGGGTACAGATGCACAACATGGGAACACTTTGTGTTCAGCCATTCACACAAGATTATGTTTTATTTATGTAGATGTCATCTATGTTTGTAATTTGATGGTAAGATAAAAGAAAATAAAAGATCCTGAATTTATGATATTTACTGGTGAATGCTGGCTGCACATGTGCTATGATCATGATGATGATACATGTTCTGAATTTATATACAGTGTGTACCTGCTTCAAAGGGTTCTTCTTGTCCTAACACTTCATGTGTTCAGTGTCTTCTTCCATTGGTTTGTTCACTGCAAGGAAAGATGATACCACAGTCTCTAATGTGCACACAATATAATGAATATATAATGGTGAATGACCAGCATTAGGTCCAACTTTCCAATGCACAATTACACATGCATATATATTAAAGAGCCATTTAAAAAAATGTTTTGGTTGATACAATAAACTAGCTTCACTTAAGCTGCTAACAGGAGCGGGTAATTAGAGCAAAGAGCATCTTATGGCATCCAGATAACAACAGAGACAGGCAGTAAGATCTCATAACACAGAGCTCAGTGGAGATATTTTTTTTTCATATTTTGACCCCATGAGAATACAGTGCAGGTTGAAAGTAAGCAACGTGGCCCTTTAATTCTTAATACATTATAGGTATAATTTAACTTTTAAACCTATTCATTACCACACAGTTGTTCCAGCTTCATAAAATACAAACTAAAGTTGTAATTAAACTAAATGACTACATTATCAGATATGTAACACCGCTTAACAAATGTTTTTGTTTTGATAGAAAAATAATAGAATTTAAGGCCACATTCTTACCTGGGTTTGTTGCAGAAGCAAGGTGCTTTGGAGAAAAACATCTTGGGGCGTTGAATTATTAGGAGACTTGAAACAGTAAAGTCAGTGGACGTAGATCTTGAAGAGACAAATTCCTTGATGCACAAGTTTTGGGAAAAAATATCCCCCCCCATCTATAAGCACTGTATGGGTTAACTGTTAAGATCATTTGAAAGTGATGGAATGGAGTCATCTCTGCTACAATAAGTAGCCCTAGTGGGCAATTTCTTTAATGCTTACTGTTCAGTTTTTTCTATTCCTGCTGATACTATTGTGAAACTTAGGGATTCCTGAGATATTTCAAAGTTTCAGAAGTCCTAAATTTGATCAAGTCAAAATACAAACAGATGGTTATATTATTATATCTTGTCTACAAATACCTATTATGTGTCATAACACCACCACCAAATGACATCTTTGTAAGACATTTAGGATTGTGCTAGAAATAGCTAAAATAAGTCTTGTGTGGATTTCACATAGGACAAAAACAATTCCTGGACCACCGTTGTTTATGTCAAATTCTTTTTTAAATATTTCCATCAACGCTGCTTCTCCTTCTGCGAAACTAAGGGTAATTATAACGCAATGTCAGATCATATATTTAAAATGCAGAGGACCTGGCTGGGCAAGTATTCACCTTTATGACACTGTGTTTTTCATACCAAACAACACAAACACTCTAGGGCTGGGCGATATGGACCAAAAAGTCATATCACGGTGCTGTTCGGTATTTTCTGCTAAGTGGGCTAGTGGCCTCCTTCAGTTCTTTTCACACTCACAGACCTAACTAAAGTACCTCTGTTGCAAACACATAAGCGTGCCCCGCTTCTTTCCACCTCTCCCTCCTTATATGTCTGCGCCGGTGACTTTCTCCATCACTAGTAGGCTACATTGTATAAAGTCGCCGAAAACAAAAACAAAAAAACAAACATGTTTTCTGGACTTTTCCACCCGCTGTTCTGTTCACAGCAGCAGCTGTGCCGCATGTTGAGGAAGCGTGTTAACGACATAGCCTATCAAAACAAAAACAACGTGGCAGCTAACGAATGACATCTGACTGGTGTGTTAACTTTCGCTTTACCTGTTCCGCGCTTATAAAATATCCATTGTGGTGCAAATTGTAACGTATAACTCTGTGTTTCTCTGAAAAATGCTAGAATGTGTCGCTCACCCTGGGTGGCCAACCAAAATAAAGTGTACGTGTGGGAAACATTGACTGAACCGTTGTTTTTCGTTTTACAAGCCAGGTCTTCAGCAGTGTCGACCGGCACTGTGTCTCCCTCCATGTTGTCAGAGAGTTTGAGAGTAGACAGCTGCGTGCAGATGCAGAGGGAGGGGCGGGGCTGCGCGGTGAGGAAAAGAGACGCTGGCAGGAAACACATTTATTGACTCAACATCAAACAATATCGGTATAAACGGTGTTGTCTCATTTTATATCTGTATTGAAATTATATCAGTATACCTCATTAAACCGATATACCGCCCAGCCCTAAAACACTCCCACATATACACACACTGGGGACAACCAAGGTGCAAGCTGTAAAAATTTGTAAAATGTGCATTTGACTTGGAATTGACGGCTCAAGAAGCATTGATATATGCAAATTAAAAGTAAATATAAAACTAAATAAGGCGCCATCTAGTCAGCAGATAAAAACAAGATGGTTTGGGTGATAGGTTTTATAAAATTTACTAAAACAAAACATTTTGAAGTGGACAGAACATACCTCTTGGTCCAGATTGTAGTCCTCTTTGGAATTAAGCGCCAATTTTACAGCCATGTAATCTCCACTTTTCACAGCATCCCGCAACTCACCTGACAAGAACAAGGCAGAGCTAAATGAATTTAAAGAACATTTACATTATAGATCTCACAAATTACTTATTCAGATATTGAAAAAAAAAAAAAAAAAAAAAATGAACACTTAAACACTTAATACACAAATAACATAATCTTGCTTAAAAATACTCAAATATAAATACAGATCTAATTTAAGATTATGGGCCTATTCGGGATAGCAGGGTTGCAGCGGTATCAGATTTTTATGGTACGATAACCATCAAAGAAAAAAAAAAAAAAAACTGTTTCACAAAATATCCTTATCATCATCATCAGTTACAATGAGCCTTACAGGAATGAAAACAGAAGGGTTGTTTTTGGTTGGAAATTCCAAACAAAGGTTTCTCTACCAAATATTAAGTCCAGCTTTTCTGATGTAGCAAATACTTATGTCATGCAATAAAATGCAAATTAATTATTTAAAAATCATACAATGTGATTTTCTGGATTTTTGTTTTAGATTCCGTCTCTCACAGTTGAAGTGTACCTATGATAAAAATTACAGACCAGCAGCAATTTAATGTTTGCATTTTTTCCCCCTTACTGTACCGAAAATAAACCGAACTGTGACTTCAAAACACATTTTTCAGTTTTCAGATGAGTCTGAAAAAGTGGTTGTTAGGAAAAGAAGGTACGGAGGTGACTGGAGGAGCTGAGGTTAGTAAAGTAAATTAGTGATGCAAACTAGTCCTTTTAAGCTAATGAGGAAATGTTTCTTTTTTGATTTTAATGTCCAAATAAAATGCACCTCAAAAGGACGTGGTTTCTCATGTTGTTCTCATTTCTTTATATTAATGTCTACAGATAAATGTCAAAAGCTATAAAATGAAGACACAAAGGGCAAACATGAACAATCGTGTCTATAATGATTCTGAGGTCATATTAACAGGGTTTTCAGGGGTGATGCCCAAAACATGCTGTGCCATAAATGTAAAATCACTGTGGAGAGCATCATAACCAACCAAATTACTTTCCCCAAATCTAAAGTTTGTAGTTCCTCCAGTAGACTGATCTTTGGGTGTCGGTTAACTATTTGTTCAGAGATATGGTGAAAATAATGGTCCAATATGATGTGAAATTACATATTTTTCATTGGAAAACGTGAAATGTTCTTGGCGGAGGACCCCCAAACCTCCCCCAATCCCGACCATGACTACCACTACCACCACCAAAACATTCATCTAAAGCTCACATTAAACTGGGAAAACACTGAAATTTTAAGCTATTCTAATGTGCATCGCATGCTCATGGACACAAGAGCAATGCTGCTGAGACATGTGTTGGGGTTTTATATTCAGTTTTATATTCAGTGCACTACACGCACAAAATAAAATTTGCTTCACTTCCACTGCTACAACTCCATCCTAGGGGAAACACTGTAATGTATCGATTGTCAATCACGTAACTTTTTAAGTATCCTTGACTAAGTCAGAAAAGCAGCAGTAGTCAGTCGGAAGACAGAAGTTAGCTAGTTAGTTAAGATGTAAATGGAAATACTCACTAGGTGATAACGGTGGACCTGAAAGGATCTCATCTTCTCCGTTCAAATGTTTCTGGAAGTCATCCAGAGTCATCCAGTCCAGGTTGAGGTCCATTCCTAGACTCAAAGTGGCTTGGCCCTTGTCTGTACAACACACAGCGCAGAGAGAGATACTTCATTAGTAGCTAGGCCGATGATGTGAAAAATAACAATAGCATGTGCTGACTGGCCAATCAGAAACATACCAGGTTTGTCAGCGCTCTCTGGTGGGTCCTGGGTGTCCTGATTGTCATCACATGCCATGAAGAGTCTGGGCTCACTGTCCTCTCTCCTCTTCCTCTTGTCGTCGGTTGGGGTTCTCTTCTCCCAGCTGGGCCGCTTGCTCTCCTCTGGCTTTTCCCTCCGTTCACGGGAATCCTCTCCAGGCCTTGGCTTTGCTGTAGATTCCTCTCCTTCCCTCTCGTCACTGTCCAGGCTGAAGCCGTAGCTCTGGCAAGGTCTGGAGACTAAAGGGGTAGCAGACGTTGAAGAAGTTGTTATATTTCTTGGGAGATTTGTCATAAAGAGCCTAGACAGCTTTTCATTCGCCATCAAAGCTTTCAATCAAATCAAATAGCAGCTTGTTATATCTTCATGGTTGTCATTCCCCATTCCTCCTCAATTAGGACTTGTTTCTCACTGGCATGTTCATTCAAAAAACACACACAACAAACAATTGCTAAAAACTCACTGTGTGTAACTGCAAATGCTCAGTTGATGAACGAAATACAAGTTTGGATTCTTCACACATCAAACCCACAAACCTTGTATGGTTGAAAGGTGATGCATTTTGATTAATGAACAACTTGTTTCACATTGTAGCCGTCGGTGTCCATGTGCTTGGGGACACTACACAAAGAGGCTAAAAGGTGCAATCACACCTAGACTTTGTTTCCACTGATTTTATATAGTTGGCAAGTTTTCAACATGCAGCTCAGCTGCTGCGAATGAAAAAGTCCAGAAGACAAGTTCTGTCTTTTTCGGTGACTTTATACAGCCTAGCCTACTACTGATGGAGAAAGTCACAGAAGCAGTTATACCTGGAGAGTTTGCAGCAGAGGTACGTTAAGTCTGTGAGTGTGAAGAGAACTGAAGGAGGCATATTCAATAAGTGAGTGATACTTAAGATGTAGAATGAAGTATAATTAAAACGGTGAAATAAGAAACAAGCTAAGTTACTAAAAATAGTAAAAATGTGCTCGCTAAAACCACCACCACCCCAGCCCGCTTAGCAGAAAATACTGATATATATTTTATACCGGAATTCTGACTTTCTGGCCATATCGCCCAGCCCTAGTTCAAACTAAGAACATCAACACCTAAATGTTTCATGCATACCATCTGATTGTTTGGTCTTCTCCGTCTTCTCAGGCTCTGGTTTCTGAGCTGGGGATTCTTTACTTGGCTTGGAGATCTTCTCAATCTTTCCTATTAACTAATGTTGGGGGGGGGGAAATATACAACGTTAACACCTTGCAGTTTTCCAGGCAAACCACTGAGCAACAACATGGCAAACATTAATGCTGGTTAATTCTCGCTTAGTCTGAAAACATAAGCATGTTGGGAATGTGTACAGATCATGTAATGTATTCACACGTATTCTAAAATTTTAATAATTGCAAAAATAGCTGACAATAATCTCAGTGACCTTATGAAGCGGATCGGGTTTCTGCCACATTAAATAGTTTTACGTTTTGATCAGTCCATTTTCAGCAGCACACTAATGTGCGTCTGTTATCACTCTTCACTTCCTGCATATGCTTCACAATAATTGCATTTAATGTGTGTGTAGTGGTAGGCCTTTACTATGAAACCAGATTAGTTTTTGATTAACTCCATATAGTAGAGCTTGATAAAGGCCCAGGAAATGGGCACTTAAGTTGGATCTTTAATTAACAACCAACTTTTAGCAACAGGAGTTTAAAAACCCTACTTCAACTCAGAGAGGTTTCCAGAGTTTTCATCAGGTAAGACCCTGAATTTGGCTGTTGGAACTATATCAGAGGAAAAAACTGCATCCCTGCTGTAGACTAATAAAACTTCTGCTCCACAAACAAATGTTAATGTAAAGTAAATTAACTGTATCAGTTTTGGTAGTATCCAAATTTTACGTAATATACACAAAACAATGTAAGAAATATACATAGCACTATTATTGTACCTTTGTGGGTTTGCTGGTAGTCTTTTCTGGGGTGGGCTGGTGCACTGGCTGCCTGCGGGGGGCGCGGTCTTTGGCCTCACAGTTTAACAGGAACTTTTCAAACAGGTTAGTGGAGCCTGTGGCGTCCTTCTGTCCCAATACCTCCTCTTTAGCCACCTCCTCCTCCTTACCCTTGGTGCTGCTAGCTGCTGTGACAGAGGATGAGGACGACGATGAGGATGTGGAGGAAGATGGGGCTTTGGGTGGTGCAGACGTGCTCTCTGGCCCTTTGCTCTTGGCTTTCTTATGTAGGGTGGAGCTATCACTGGAGTCTGAGTGTGGGGCAGCCTCCTCTTTCCCTTTAGAGGTGAGGCTCTTTAGCTTTAAGAGGCTGCTTTCCTTTAGGGTGGCATCTGGCTTCTTGCTCTTTTTGTCATGGATAAGGTCCTTAATGCCCTGCAGCTTTACTTCCCACTTCCCCTTCTTTTGTCTGGACTTTTCGTCCATACGTGTCTTTTCGACTGACTTTGCTGCGGTATCTGTTGATGCAATATCATCTATTTGTGAGTCTGACGGGCCCTCGCTTAGGTCGTCTTCCAGAGGTGCAGCGGCCTCGTCTTCAGAGGTTTCAATCTTCCTTTCCTTCTTCCCTTTCTTTTTCTTCCCCTCCTCTTCCTTTTCTGTCTTATGCTTTCCTCCCTCTTTTCCCTTTTCCTTCTTGTGTTTTTTGGAGGGAACAGGCTCATCGTCATCCTCTTCAGAGTCAACCAGACGTTTTTTTGATTCAGTCTTTTTCTCTTTGGGAGGAGAGGGTGGAGTCAGGGCTCTCTCTTCTTCTTCTTCGTCTGTCTCTGGTGCTGGTAGAGGCCTGAACTCCTCCTTCCGTTTGTCTTTCTTCTTCTTCTTCTTCTTTTTCTCCTTTGGAAGTGGTTCCTCTTCTTCCTCCCGTATCTTTGTCTTTTTTTTCTTCTTGGCAGGGGCCTCAGTTGGACGGTCTTTGTCAGTGTCACTCTCTGAGTCAGCATCAAACACGTCACTCTTTGTAGGCAGCAGTTTCTAATACGAGAACAGGACAAGCAATGTCACATTTTAAAATTAATATTGTTGTTTTTGACTTTTTGGCTTTAAGGTTCCATGTAGAGTTTCAGACCTATAGTAGCAGTATGGATCCGTATTTCTTTAAGTGGGTCCTGGTTTTCTTTGCGCTCAT